CCCTCTTTCCTCTCCCTTCATCCGAACTGCCAAACCTCAATCAAACGCCATTACATTGATAATCCTCGCCATCGTGATTGAGCGCTGCTGAAGAACTTGATTCTCTTCCTCCGCCTGTCCCCGTCCCCGTCCCCGTCCCCGTTCCGGCCGCCGTCTATGAGCGAAGGGAGATAGAAGACGAAGAAGAAGAAGAAAGAATGGTACGTGGAATCTCTGTTAACTTCCTGCAAATTGGGGCGATCGTTTGTTTGATGGCGGCGTTTGCTTTTCTGGCTTTTGTGGACGAAACTGAGAGGCCGGTTGGTTTGAAACAGGTAGCTGTGGTGGAGCCCGCCACCGCTAATTCCGTCGGTGGTGGCGGTAACGAAGCGAATATGTTCAATGGAGCCATCCCCAGGCCACCGCCGGGAAATGATGCTGCGTGTACCACTACGACGGCGACGGGGCAGCAAGCGACGGCTTCTCCTCCTTCATCAATGGCGGATGAATTGTGCCATATATCTTGTACTACTTTCAACATCCTGGCTCCTATCTACAAGCGCCTCGACAAACAGGTATGGGAGAGAGATAGATTTGACCGCCTAAATTCTTTTACGGATCGTGTTCGAATCCGAATTCATTCTTGCTGTTCGGTTTCACAGAACCAAAGCCTCCGTGAAAGCGATTTCAGAGCTTTCTGGCTATCCCGGAACCAGATGATTTTGGAATGGTTGCTTATGGAAAGAACTTCCATCATATGCCTCCAGGTGATTTGATGATCGATTTATTGATAGACCTTTCTTCTTTCTCTTCCCGCCGTTTCTCTTGATTCTTTTTTACAATGAATGGATCTGGTTTTCTGGTTTCCCTGAGAAAGCTTAGAACTTAAAATGATGTTGATTGGGCTCTTGCTCTTGTCCGGTCAACAGGAATTCTGGACGGGAAATGAAGAACTTGTGCATATGTACGAGGACAAGCTCTGTGACGCTGGCTATTTCACCTTTCAACTTGCCAGAACGAACAACCGGGGAGATGGTAAACATGTTTTTCTCTCATCAAAAATTCAAATTTCCATTTCTTGTTTCAAATCCTGCATCTTCCAACGCACCCTTTGTTCGAACTTTGCCACCAAATCTCATCGATGGAAAAGTGTTTAATTGTGGAAGGACTATAATTTTCCATATTGCATCATTGCTCGGCTTGGTTGCAGCTTAAAGGAAATGCAAACCCTTAAGGATCGATTGAGTGTGAATGTCAAGACGGAATTTTGTGTGCGCGTATGTGTGTGCTCCGCCTCTCTATCCTACTCTCTGGGATTTGCTTTTGCTTGTTATACTTGTATCTATCTGCTGGGGATTTGAAGATATAGTTGATTGTTATGATGATCATCACTTCATCAGTCAACTTGTTTGATTCAGCTTCTCAAAATTTGCTTCCCTAGTACCCTTCTGAACTTTACTTTATATTTGCAGGCTTGCTAATGGCAGTGCACAAGGACTACTTTAGGATTCTAAATTATCGGGAGTTGCTCTTCAATGATTTTGGAGACCGTGTTGCCCAGCTATTGCATGTTCAGTTGACGATACCCTCTTCATGTAGCAATCGGAAAAATGACACCCGGCAAGAGCTTCTAATAGTCAACACACATTTGTTATTTCCTCATAATTCCAGTCTGTCCATAGCGAGGTTGCATCAGGTATGCCAATTTTCTCTGGGCGTTTTTATTTCCCCCTTTTGCACTAGAACATTACAGTCCTAATTCTTGGGATGCTTTTCAATCTCCAGACTAACATGGGCGCCTCATGTTTGTGTCTCGGCAGGTCTATAAAATATTACAGTATGTGGAGACATATCAACGAGAAAACAAACTTGGTGGTGTGCCTGTCGTTCTGTCTGGGTGAGTTTTGACTTTTTGTTTGCATTATTTAATGTGGGGGAGCTTCGTGGAACTTCATATCACCATGATTTCTCATGGCTCTACTACTTTCTACAGCGACTGGAATGGAAGCAAAAGGGGCCGCGTTTATAAATTCCTTCGGTCTCAAGGGTTTGCATCGTCGTATGACATTGCTCATAAGTACACTGACAGTGATGATGATGCTCACAGGGTTAGTTATCGAGTCCAATTGGTTGCCTTCATTGTCCTTGTTAACTTTCAATAGTTGACTTGTTGCTTATCACGTCGCATTTTCTCCTGTGTTCTACTCTACAGTGGGTAAGCCACAGAAATCATAGGGGTAACATCTGCGGCGTTGATTTCATATGGCTCCGTAACCCTAATGAACCAACCAAACCATTAAAGACAAGTTGGGCCGAAGCAGCATTTGGTATAATAAAGGTGGTTTTAATCAACTCATTTTTTTCCTTCTTTCCCTTTAAGCTCTTTTCTTTACAGTTCTTTCTGATTCTAGTTCATGATGGTGTTCAGTCAGATCTGGTTTCTCTGTTCTTTCTCTTCTCTTCTGTTTTACACATCGATTCTGGATATGTATCTGATATGTGATTTTTCTAATTTTGTAGTGTCAGCTCCAAAAGGGTTCACTGAACGATAGTGATGCGTTTGCATTTTTGAAGGCTGACAACCCTGGGGATTTTATAACGTACTCGAGTTTCTGTGAAGGGCTTCGCCAGGTATTGTAATTTTCGGCCTCGTTTGGTTGATGGATTTCTTAATTATGGAGTGTGAGAAGTAGATGGGCTTAGGAAATAACAAATTTTGACATTCTTTTGTCTGATGGATTTTGGTTTTCTGGATGGTGTTCAAGTCCCATAAACTAAAAGGAATCCATTGAACTGCCATTACTTTTTACTACTAGAAGATGATATAGTAAAGTGGACTGATGGATTATCCATTAAGTTGATTCAATCCCTTCCCTTCTTCCAGGTTCACTTAATCGGTCTTCCATACGGACTGAGTTACCAAGAGACGAAAGATTTATGGAACCAAGCAGACATAGACGGAAATGGAATCATCGATTACGAAGAATTTAAGGTACTCATTGAGCATCTTATCTCACTTTGCCATCAAAGTTTCAACACCTAAATCTCTTTCATATATAGTTTTTTTTCTATCTTTGATCATGTAGAAGAGGATATGGAACTCCTCGTGTCGTCTGGCTCAAAGAGACGATAATTACGCAGAAAGTCCAGAGTACGGAAAGGAGTTGGCAGAGGAAGTGGTCGGTTTCAAGGTGAAGGACGCCGTTCTGTTTCCACGCGAAGTGGAGCGAGGAATGTGGCCGGAGAACTACTCTCTGTCTGATCATGCTCGGCTGACGGTCATATTTTCGCCCGTAAGAATGCAGTTCAGGACGGAGGAGAGAGTAGGCTTATGACCCGTAAGCGAAATTTGTTCTGTAGGTTAAAGATGGGAAATGAGAGAAGGGTAGAGTAGAAATTGTGGAGTTTGTATATGAAGAATTATTCCGTATATATAGTTTTCTGCCTGCTTTGTTGGGCGAATTTTGTAGCTAGTTGTCGACTGTGCCACTGTTGGCAAGATTTTCAGGCAAAAGAGAGGGCGAAAATTTAAAAACGTGAAAATGGTTATATACTGGGCGCATTTCAATCTAGTCCACGGAGCATAATTAAATGAGAACATAATATGACACACCAAAATCGATCCTAAACAATTCAGCAAAAATTTATCCCTATCATTTTTGAGCAATCATATATGAAGTTTTTGAGATGATGTAATATGGAATACATTTCAGCCTTGATATAAGCCTCCTTTTTCTACTGAATTCTACTTCTGCTCGATCTCGTAACAATCCTCCTCAATCGTCACTTTTTTATACTTCCAATTTAGCTTGTACAACCCGACCTAATCAAAACCCCCCAACACGAAAACAGCTCCAGCACGTTCACATGTATCATTAGGAGCCCTAATAATTGAGTCGTCCATGTCTCCCCTTGTTTCCTTCCTACCGGCGACGGCCAAACTTCACAAAACAGTGGCCTTAGGCCTTAGCACCATACTTCATTTTGGTAGTCCATGTCATCAGTACCGTGAAGTTTACTCTTTGTGGCATGTGGGACAAAAGGTGACTTGTCGGTGGGACTAACCTCTTCTTTCATCCATATCCCCTCAAAGCTTTCACTATGTTTGGATGGGTTGTAAATTTTGGATGCACGAGTCGTTTGGATGGAGTATTTGTATGGACACAAATAATTTGTTTAGCGGCGTTTTATTGAAATGAGTTACTTGGACAGTGAGTTATTTGAAATAACTCATACACATGTGTTATTTCGAAATAACTCGTTTTACAACTCTGTTTTTACCAAAATACCACATGTCAAATATTACATTTGCATGGTTCCACCAAACGAGATATTTCAATTAATTACTACTGAAATACCATATGAACAAATGAATTATTTGATTCTACAAATACCACATTGACAATTATCCATCCAAACGACCCCTTACTTTTTGTACGGCTCTCTAGTTGGTACCCGGCTTGGTACCTTGGTGCATGGCTCCTAAGCCTATTTTGTTTTCAGACTTGGGCAAATTTCATGTTTTGGTACCAAGCATGCCTTGCTGGCTTTGTACCCTCTTAACTCCATACTTGATAAAATTTCAAGTCTTGGTACCAAGCATGTCTTGTCGGTTGGGTACCCTCCTGGCTCCATACTTAACCAAATTTCATATTTTGGAACCAAGCCTGTCTTACCGGCTTGGTGAGGTGGTACCTCATTGACTCCATACTTAGCCAAATTTCACATGTCGGTACCATGTCTGTATTGTCGGGTTGGTGCCCTCTTGTTGGCCACCAAGAGAGGCTTGTTATAAGGGAGAGGAAGCTTCGGGTATACTCGATGAAAGTTTAACTGTGAGGGCGGGTGTTTGGCCACTTAGCCCCAATATTAACTCATTTGAAGTTTAATGGTGAAGTGAAGTCAATATCTTAATCAATTTGGTATGAGATTACATTGTAGGAGACTAATTTTTAGGTGTAAAATTATCAGATTTCTCTCTTTTTCGTCGAATTGCAAAACATATCTAAAAAATGCCTGAATCTGAATTTTGTAAACCTCTTTAAATTTAGCCAAACATTATATAGGAATAGGAGTGCAAGCTAAGTTGTTGCTTCACGGATAAGGCGATACAATTTATAGATTAAAAGCCTCCTGTTACAGAGCAAGCTAACGAAATATAATCCCATTTTGACTTACAAAGCCTATTTAGGAAGTGCTTTACAATATCAAAACTAACTCCTTCGACGATTGATCGCGACAAAACTGGAGAAGATCGAAGAGACTATAGAAGGAAATCCACAGCGAAAACTAGGAGGACTCTCAGACAGGATCTCGAGTGAATGATCCAATAATTCACAGGAAGAATCTTCTCCGGCTAGTATCCATTTCCGGCTGAAAATATGAGCGACATGGATAGCTCAGAAGAGTGCAGCAAATGCTAAATAGTAGGATACCAAATCTAAAGGAGAACAATATTACCTTGTGAACCCATTCGTACTCGCCACCTCTGGTATCAAATGTTCCATGCTGGAGGCTTTTCAACTTCAGGACAAATCGAGGGCCACACTCCTGGAAAATTGTCATTCGAAGACACAAGTTATGTCGTTGGAAATATTGAACCAGAGGAGAAGCCGATACAAGTTATGTCGTTGGAAATATTGAACCAGAGGAAAGCTATTACAGCAAACATGTCAAAATACCCACATCATTCGCTAAAAGGATTAATCTAGGCTTCAGATACTAGGGCCAAGGGAAAAATGCAAGAAACAGAAATCACTAAACCAATCCCAACCTGAAGGCGGGCAATTACTTGCTGACCAGTGCTCTTATCCTCGGCATCCTTCCCCTTTTTGCTTTTTGGGTCTTGCTGTTTACTTTCCTTTGTTTCAAAGATGTATCTGAGTCACAAACAATTGAATGCATCAGAATGAGAGAAAAAGAGAAGGGGCGATTACTGGAATTGCAAATGCCATTGATACTAATTAGAGACAAACCGATGATGGCGGAAGAAAATATAATCTCGTTGATTGTGAAATGTCACAACACGCCGACCACGGAAATCAGGATTTTGTGGGAAAAGTGACTGAATCATTCTGCAAGAATTAGATTACAGTTCTTCAGCAGGGATTTTAAGGAAGAGTTCACGAAGCAAAGAATGAGCTACCAACACCAAGAACCATATTTGAGTTCAAAACTTATAGAAGCAACCAATTCAATGATCCACACGCTGCTTACCTAAAGAGTACAAGGCTTTCTACCAGCAACAAGAAAAAAGTGCAAGGCAAAGAAGGGGGGAGAATGATTACCTCCCAACACGATGACCAAGGCGTGTTGTGAAGTTATTCAAAACCAGCTCAGGTACGTGGCCAGTTGGATTTCCATGATTCTACAAAAGCATGATAACAGGTCAAGATCACCTTGTAGGATGAACATAGGAAGCATTGAAACTTCACAGCAACAGGATAAGTGAAACTTGATTGAACTTGGCAAAAAGAGAGCAGTAACAAATGATTCCTTCTGCAGGAAAAGTGACATCAGACTTCCATACTCCTCAAAATATTAGAAATCCACCTTAATTTCCTTCCGCAGTACTAGCTTTGACAGCTTAAAGTGGGCCGTGGGTCCAGATGGCAAGGATGTGACCAACAGAGCATCTACATCATAGAAGAGTTAGGTGTAAGAAACATAGTAATGATAGACAAGTATAAGACGACGAAATCGGAGAGAAAGCCATGAGACCAGGCATCTTAAGGAATGCACCTGGCTCTCTACGACTCGTGTGAACAACGATAAGTGTAGTGAAGTCCTCCTTCGTTGCATATTCCACTATCTGCATAGAGTAGATCCACTAATCAGGCAAACAAAACAATTGATAGTGGAAAAGATGATTCAGGAATGTGCCAGGAAGGTAATGTAAGGTAGACAGTCGGAGTTACTAAAAAGTATCACCTTCTTCAAGTCGTATGTTCCCCTCTTGTAATAATGAGCATTTGGAATTACAGTAAGTAATTCTGAAATAAAAGCTGGCCCCCTCTGAAAAAGCCAAGGTAGCATCCCAAACAATTAGGCAAGCGCCATAACAAGGGGGGGGGGGAAAAACAGAACAGGAGGGAATAGAGAGAAAAGCGGAAATAGAGCAGAGAAACATACAGTAGAATGGAAGCGGCAAGTGGTTATCAAAATCTTGGGAGCCCGTTCGCGTCTCAAAATCGAACTAAATTCATCAGCATCATTAGCTACAAATAACTGTGTAAATGACCATAGATGAAGCATCAGCTCTGGAAAGAGTATTGCCCATGACTCAAGTTAGGAGATTTAATATGCATATGATCCCACAAAGCAAGTCCCAATTGAAGAGTGCACAACTCCTATAACATTTCGCTTACCCACTACAATTATAGATTATTCATACCACATTGCAGAACTCAAGTCAGACAAATTCAGTAAGTAGGAACCATCAAGGACAATTTAGGAGAGCAAGAAATCGTAAACCATGCTTTCTTCGTTTACCCAACAGATAATATAACAATGGGAAAAAGGGAATACCTCAGCATCGTCAGGCTTGCAAACAGTTTCATCAGCTTCTCTGGTGTTCTCAATGGTGCGAGGAACGCTCCTCTGAGGAGGCTGCATAGTAACAAATACAATCAACAACATAGCTCAAAATGAATCAATCGGAACAGAAACGCAGAGAAAAAAAGCTTGGAAATTCTCTAATTCCAATCAAATTTTTTGACAAGCGAGCATAGTCTAGGGTAAGATCAGAGGAAGTGAAATCAGTTGCAACCTCCTCGCCGAGTTCCAGCGCCTGCTTGTCAGCAGCTTCACGAGCCTTCTTGGTCTTGCGTTTCTCGAGCTTCTTCTGGTGTTTGAGTTTGGCGTGGGCGGCGGATCTCTTCTCCTTATTCTTTATCATCGACGGCCGGAACTCTTCCTTCTTCTCTACTTTCTGCCTATTCCTCCTATCCCTACAGCCACCGTCGTCTATGTCGGCATCTTCGGCCATTTCGGGAGCGTCTTCCTTCTTTCTCTTCGCCCCCATCTTTTGGCTTCCGATTGGCGTTCGCCGGCGGAGAGTGCAGGCGTGTAACGTTGGAAGAATAATGGAAGTAATAGGGTTTGTGTGGAGATGAGAATGAGAGAGGTTTTAGAATCTGACTGTCGCCTCGCCGCCTTGAACGCACTTTGAAATTGGACTGTCCGCAGTAAGGCCCATTCTCCTCGCAGACAGTCGTGTGTGGCCCGTTAATTTCAAACAGTACAAAGGACAATAAGGCCCCAACCTGTATTTACTGTTAAAACTTAGGGTTAAGTTGGGCGAGGGTTTGATTTTGTAGAACCCCTCTTTTGGTTTGGGTGCGAGTTTTGGTTTACGCGATTTGTATATATCCGATCAAATTCATGTTACAACTTTTGACCTAAGTGTTCAATCCAGAACGTATTTATAATATATATTCTATTATGAAAATAGGATATTTTTATCATATTTTCTCTCGTGATTTTGATGATTTAATGCATTCTTCAACTAAAAAATTTATACGTATCTTAAACATCAAAAAATTTCCATTAATGAAAGCTGGAAATCCATTGAAAAATAAAAAAGACGTATGTCGGATGAAATGGTGGTTGTTGCTATTTGCTCCAATAACGAATCATTGGCATTGGTTTAACTGAATAACTAAATAAAATAGATAAGATACAGACTATGGTTGACATTGCTTTTTTTATGTATACAATTTTAAAAGACTAACACATAATGGATGCATTAACTTATAATGAATAACGTCTTTAGGTTATTCGGTAAATGTTTATGAAAAATACTGAACATATGTTGAAGCAAATTGCACTTCACTTCATCAAGATCAGAGCAACAACTTCTAAACATTTTGATGTTTTCACCTTGGTTTATTTGCTTGAAATATTTTAGTTAGTTTTCTTAGTGTTGGGTTGGATTTTTGCTTAAAAGTATAGCTCACCCAGTCCAATCATAAACAAATCTTAGGGTTCTAATTTTTTTGGTGGGTTTGAATTTAGTATTTTCAATACGAAAGTGTATGGGTCGGGTGATTAAAATGATTAAATCCTAACCACTCGACACATGAACACCCCTAATAACCACTCTACATTATGTAACCATTTGAAACTTCTAACACGAGTTTTAGTCACATAACGATGTCAAACTGATTTATGGGTGTTTTGTCGCAACGTCTAGGTCCCACATCATTATTTAGAGCTTTCAATCACATAACTAGTGATACCGAAGGGAGATTGGAATTGAGTTTCATCTCTCAGTTATTGCATGGTATGTATTTATAATTTATAAGTTATGTAGATGTTGCATATGTAAATTTGCTCAAATAATTGATCTTGTTTGAAAATTATGTATGATTTGACAAGTATATAAGCAAGAAGGAAATGTTAATACACATTATCTATTTTTAGTGGTGTATTATGACAATATTTACCATCGACAATATTGATTAACTCATTGTTGGTAATGGTTACATGAATAAGCAAGTGTTTGGCCCATGGTGTGAGCTTCAGTCCCATCGACAAAACATGAAGAAACCCCTAACTAATATGGTCACTTTTGTGCAATGATGAACCACTTGCTGGATGTGAACTTGCAATCACAGAAAGAAAAATAAAAAAACTACCAGGGATGGAAACTTGAGTTGGTCATTATTCTTAGAACTACATCAAAAGTCTTGCGAACATCTAACGAAGTAGCAAGATGAAAAGAAGCAGCACAAACAGGTTTAGGAGAGCTGCTTTTCAAAAAACTGTCTTTGCTGAGCCTCAAAATTCTAATGAAATTTTTGCTAAGTATTAGTGGTTTTCACAACTTGAGCTTCAGGGTCGTCGTCATGATGAACACCTTCCTCGATGACAGGCTCAATCTGTTTCACCCCACACTGGTCAGCAGCCTCCTTGCTCTTTCCCCATAGCAGAATGTAGAGACCAATGACTACTATTGCAGATCCTATTACACTGTTCAAATTCACCAACCAAACAAATGTCATTAGATCAGGTTTAGGTGCCGAAGAGCTTATATTATACCAAAAGGAACCAAAGCAGGCATCGGAGAGCCCATCCATACCTTCCAACAAAGAGCTGTTCATGCAAGATTGAGAAGTCAAACATGGCAGCAAATATCTGTGTGAAGGGGGTGAATGCGGCTGTGAACACGGGACCTTTTTGTTTGACACACCACGACATCCCCACATAACACAGCCCTGATCCTACAATTCCCTGCTCGTCAGTTTGAAATGAAGAGGATCAGCTTTTTATCGAAAGGGCAGAGAAATACAGATATTACAGATATCCTCAAGGGTGAATTCGGCTCAATATCTCGAGTTTTTGGAAGATGCTGAAATACAGATATTACACCGTTCCCTTAAATGACCAACCATGAAAGTGCAGAGAAAGAAGGAAAGCGACTTACAGAATAGACGATAGTCAGGATTTCCAATTTCCCCTTGAGGATCCACATCGAGGCATCCCTCTCAATGGCAAGGCTCAAGATTGCTGTTTGGATGGAAGCAAAGAAGGTGAGAATGGTGATGCTGGAGTATTGACACGGGTAGCTCTTCAGAACGTGTGCTTGTATGAGAAACCAAGAAGACCAAGAAAGGCAGCCTCCAATGAGAAGTATAGAACCCAGAACCCATTTCTTTGAATTCTCCGCATCAGGAGTAACGTATTTGCTGTGTGAATCGGTTAGAGGGGCTCCCTGGTAGACGGAGAGCAGTATAGCTCCAGTCATGCAAATGAGTGCCCCAAGCACTTTGGCTCTTCCACCTGAACTTCCCAGGTTCACTTTCTCAATACTGTAACCAGAGAATATTGAATTGAATTGAAGCAAGTTATACACTTTGTTGAACTGAAGAAACATGTCATTAAGCCAAACATGGAAAATTGAACTTTTACCCAAATGGTATTGCCAGTAAGAATGTATTAACAGGCACTGTGTTGAGAAATGCACATGAGAAGGCAGCAGACGTGTACTTAAGTCCCAAAAGGAACAAGTATTGGCAGAGGGTAAGCCTGAAATTCATTAAAAGGAAAAGGCTCTCAGAGAAGCTGGAAAACTTGAAAGAAGGATATCAAGCAGACTCCATCAATCCACATCCTGAATAGTTCAACTCACCCGATGAGAGCTCCAAAGAAAAGTTGGCATAAGATGCTTCCAGTGAGCTTGGTTCTGCTTTTCCTGTCATACGCGGAACAAATAAACAACTCACTCCCTTGAATATTTCATTCTGCAGTTACTGTTCTGGCTAGGGACCATTAGACCTAGCTAAAAGGCGCTAGGACAAACAGAAATCAACTAAGTCGGGTAAGTAAATAAGCAAACTTGAGCAGAGCAGTATACAAGAGTTGTTCATTTGACCAAATAGTAGGCCGCTTACCTTTCCCGGTAGTAGCCAATTGGTCCCAAGAAAATGGCAGAAATTGCCAGTCTATAAATAATGATGACCATCTGATTTGTTCCTCCATCAAGAACCTTTTTGAAAAGCACATTCACCACTGCGAAAGCAAAGTTAATAACCACCATTAGAGCAACAGTCTTCCATTGCTCTGCAATTCCCATGCTATTAAGCTAGTATGAGAATAAGAGGCTGCTTGAAAGCACCCTCTAGAAACTTGCTGCTCTATTCAAATTCTAGAGGTGTTCACAAACCGCAATGCATCACCTTCGTTGATCTGCTGTCCTTTATATACAATACAGGCGAACCATGCTGACAGTGGGAAGGAATAAGCATTGATTTATTTAACTACTCATGCAATGCATGCATCACCACCTCAAACAACTACTTTCGATTAATTTAATCAAATTTTCTCTTTATGCTCTCTCCTGAAGGACTGCTTTTTCTTCAGTTGCAGAAAGCAAAGAATCAAATACCAGGTAAGGTAACAGTCTCTCCAGATGACAAAATGACTTCTGAGACTCTCATTGGATATGCCAGTTGCCACATTAAGGTAAAAGTAGATTTCAAGCCGTATAAGCATTCTTCTTCATTCAACAATAATGCACATGCAGCATGGAGTAATAAAAACCACGTATGAAATTTAGTTTATTAAAACAGAAAACATGATAAAAACAAGAGAGGGGCAATATCGTATCTTTTGAAAGTTGGACGACAGACATGACACAAGCATACCTTTCTTCTGAAAGCATCTAATACTTCTTTCAGGAGATGGGGAAGAAATGAAAAACAGAAAACAAATAGATAGTAACAAAAACGCCTTTTTATTTGTATTCCATGAAAAGAACAATGTGTTTCGATATAAAAAAAGAACAATGCGTCAAATCTGAAAAAGGAAAGTTAAAGCCCTTTCCACAAAGAATTTATGGGTGTCTGGAACTGTTTTGCTCGCGGGGTTTCTACTCTTTTCTTTGGTTCAATATATTCTGCCCTGCACTCCCAGAATCTCAGCTCTAAAAGATGTCTGATCACTGGTTACCATCTCATGATCAGACTAACACTCGAATAGCTTAAGATGCACTTACTCAAGTTGTAGACGTGCAGGAAAGCTTTTGTTGGGGGGGCATCTAGGACTGCTTGTAGACATAATATGCATTAAGAACTGCAGCATTGGTAAGGTTCAAATAGGCATGATGCTAATTAGCAAGGGCATCTACGACTGCCTGTAGACATAATATGCATTAAGAACAGCAGCATCGGTGAGGTTCAAATAGGCATGATGCTAATTAACAAGGGGATGAACAGAACTATCCATTATGAAAGAAATTCTGAGTGATCAATTATCGTCAATTTTCCTTTTCTTTTTTCAGGGATCATCAGAACATGAAACTACTATCAAGTTGTGAAATAGTCTTGGGGACATATAGAACAAGGTCAGCAGTGTCTCTCTGAATCTTACCAATTTAGGTAAATTTACCTTGAGCTGACATCTCAAAGACTGGGATGGCACCAGATGCAGCAATATTAGGCACATATTCCAGTGAAATACTTCTCAAAGTTTTTCACTTTGCTGCTGCTCGTGTGCCGTCCATGGCTTCCGTCTCTGGACCATATTACCCTGCCCCACAAAATGTTAATATCACATGTGACAAAGTGAAAGAGCCAGTCATCTAATACCCTAAAGAGTTGCAGAAAATTATAGTCGGACTGTCTGCAGGTCAAAACTATGAACAAAGACTATAATATACACAGACGTAGCTTACTGATTGTGTTTACCAGAGGAAATAGAATGGGGACAACGAGAGGGAGGTCTCGTGTTGTCATTTTTCTACTGATTGTTCGACTTGCGACCTTGCTATCAGAGAACCACTCTAGATACATGAAACAAACAAGTAAAGTAGGAAGCAAAACCAGTTGCTTTCTCGGGACCAAGATATAAGGAAAGCTTGCTGCTTTCTTTCCAAACCTACCGCCGCTCATCAGCAGCAGCAAGTATAATCAGTTAATCACTCGCGCTTCTACCGTCAGTCAGTTCACATTGAACTTTTAGAAAAATCACTCGGGTCTTTTCCTTTTCTTTCCCCCCTCCTACAACCTCCGCCGTGATTTAGTCGCGAAGCGCAGGATCCAACTGAGACAGTACGGCGGCCTGCGCCGCGCAAATCGATGTCGAGATGCACTGCGGCGATGGGAAAGCTCATACGTTCACCCGTGGGGATCTCAACAATAAACCCAACACCGAACTTCATATCGCACAGCACGAAAGCTGCTCCATCGACGGCATCGCAGCCGTCTTCCTCTTCTCCGTCCTTGCAACAAATGGACGACCTTCTTCTCGTCGCCTTTCTAACGAAAACCCTATCGGAATCGGGCACTCGAAATCTCGACCCGGACACCATTCCTCTGTCGCAGCAGCTGGTCATACAGATCCTAAGGAGGGGCTCCCTAGATGCCTCGAGAAAGACTGATTTTTTCAAGTGGTGTTCTCTCATGCATAACTACAAACACTCGGCAGGCACTTACTCCCACATGTTCAGGGAGCTCTGCCGCGCCGAGTACCTGGAGGAGGTCCCCGGCCTGCTGGAACAGATGAAAGCCGACGGAGTTGTAGCGGCACCGCAGACCTTCAAAATGTTGCTTGACGCCGTCATTCGATTGGGCAAATTGGATTGCGCGCTCCAGATCCTCCATTTCATGGAAGGACTGCAAGAAGCCAATCTCACCCCACTAGTCTACGACACTTTACTCATTGCACTTGCCAAGAAAAACCAGCTGGGTTTGGCCTTGCCCATTTTATTCAAGCTGCTAGATGCTCCTCATCCGCCGTCTCCCGGTTCCACTGCCTGCAATGCTTTGCTGGTTGCTCTTAGAAAGGCCGACAATAGAGCAGATTTCAGAAAGGTATTCGACAGGCTAAGGGGAACGAAAGGGTTCCAACTTGACACATGGGGTTACAACATCTGCATTCATGCTTTTGGCCGATGGGGCGATTTGCCAACTTCCTTGACTCTCTTCAGGGAAATGCAGGAAAAGGATTCTGCTTCTGGCCCTGATTTGTGCACTTACAACAGCCTGCTTCAGTCATTGTGCTTGGCTGGCAAAGTCAAGGATGCATTGATTGCCTATGAGGAGCTGAAGGAATCCGGACATCGTCCAGACGCCTTCACTTATCGGATACTTATCCAAGGCTGCACAAAATCCCACCAGATAAACGAGGCAGCAAGGATCTTTACCGAAATGCAGTACGACGGTTTTGTACCTGATGCTCTTGTTTACCACTCTCTTTTAAACGGGATGTTCAAGGCAAACAGAATTTCAGAAGCCTGCCAGCTGTTTGAGAGAATGGTCGACGATGGTGTGAGAGCCTCGAGCTGGACATACAACATCTTGATACACGGCTTGATCAAGAACGGAAGAGCCGAGGCTGGCTACTCATTGTTCTGTGACTTGAAGAAGAAGGGGCAGTTGGTGGATGGTGTTACTTACAGCATTGTCATCTTGCAGCTTGTCAAAGAAGGTGAATTGGAAGAAGCTCTCAAGCTGGTGGAAGAGATGGACAATGACAGAGGCTTTGTTGTTGATCTGGTTACCATAACCACATTGCTGATTGGGTTCCACAGACATGGCAGGCAGGATTGGACGGAGAGACTGATGAAGCATGTGAGAGATGGGGATGTAGTACTGAGCGTGATCAGGTGGAAGGAAGAGATGGAGGCTGCACTGAAGAATAATAGGCTGAAGAGCAGAAGAAAAGATTACACACCATTGTTCCCTCATAAATGCGGGATCGAGGAAATCTTGAGCTCTGTAACTTCTTCCACTGTGAAACCTCATTCAAGTGATGAGGAGGAGGAGAATTTTGATCAGTGGTCGACATCTCCACATATGGATCACTTGGCCAATCAAGTGAAATCAGGTAGCGATTCTCACCAGCTCTTTTCTCTGGCTAGAGGAAAGAGAGTCCAGACTTCCGAAAAAGATGCAGGAAGCTCTTTCGACATTGGAATGGTTAACACCTTCATGTCGATCTTCCTAGCTAAAGGGCAGCTGAGCCTGGCCTGTAAGCTGTTTGAGGTATTCACCGACATGGGTGTGAACCCTGTGAGTTACACATACAATGCTCTGATGAGTTCCTTTGTGAAGAAGGGATACTTCGAAGAGGCGTGGAATGTCCTGAACGAGATGGGGGAGAAGCTTTGCCCTGCAGATATAGCCACATACAATGCCGTAATCCAAGGGTTGGGGAAGATGGGAAGAGCAGACATTGCAAGCTCTGTTCTTGATAAGTTAATGGATGGTGGCGGCTTCCTCGACATCGTCATGTACAACACCCTGATCAATGCTCTGGGAAAGGCTGGTCGGGTCGACGAAGCCAATAAGCTTTTCGACCAGATGAAGAACGGCGGTATCAACCCAGATGTGGTGACTTACAACACTTTGATTGAAGTTCATACCAAGGCTGGCCGGTTGAAAGAAGCCCACAGGCTGTTGAAGACGATGTTGGATGCTGGATGCTTGCCAAATGCTGTTACGGACACCATTCTCGACTTGTTGGCAAGAGAGATTGACAAAGTTAGATACCAGAAGGCGTCAATGGTTCGTCAAAACAGCCATTCTCCTACCTCTGATTCTCCTTCCAATTGAAAAGCTTATGAAGAAGGGATTAGGGAAATGCATAAAGGATAAAGAACAGCACAACTCGCAATTGGATGCACAAACAAAAAGGTCAGTAGCGTTCTTCATTTGAAACAAAGAATTTTCAAGTACATACAAAACACAATCTCTCTCGAAATCTCCTCAACTATACCAATCATGACAGCCTGAAATCACAGGAAAAAAACAGAAGGAAACACACCAATCGATTCTTGTACACTGGAAATCAGAAGAGACCGAAGAGCAAAGAGAAGCCAAGCAAGAAGAGCCAGACGATGTGAACCAGGAGGAGTGCCTGACCAGGGAGCGACGCACTGCCGCCGCTTCCAACCTCGCACGCGCCTAGCTTCGCAACATTGGTCCCGTGACAAGCCGCGTCGGCGCAGCCGCACCAGTAGGTCATGCCGTCGACGCCGCAGACTGGATCCGCGCGGAAGCAGTTGATTGGGCAGGAAGTCGGAGCTGCGGTTGATCGAGGGCAGACGTTGCCGTCGCCGACGGCTCCTTTCTCGGTCACTTGCAAGATCATCGCCGCTTCAGGTCGCTCCGAGGTCGCCCCCTCGGAGAAAATGAACAGGAAGGTCAGCATCGCGATCCACAAAGACGCCCGCGCAGAAGATGCCGCCATCATCCTTCACCGATTGGAAATGCCGCCGCTGCGATGCCCTAGCTCGAAACAGATGGAATTGAATCGGAGGAATGAATCGAAGGGTGGAATTGGAGTCGTGCAGCGGGAGAAGATGAGGAGGAGGATGAGAAGGTGGTGAAGAAGGCGGGGGAATTTGGTTGACGTCGTCTTCGTCTTCCTCGCCGAACCTTCAACCACCTTCCAACGCCCTTTCCTTTGGTGATGTTTCTTGTTCCGTTTGCATTTCCTTTTTCGCCTTTTCCCATTGGTGATACTTTACCTTTGTAGCCTGGCAAACCCGGTTCAGACTATTGGCCAGTTGGTCAGGTTGAACAAGTGGGTTGAGGTCGATCGATCAATTAAATCCGGTTTATCTCACAAATAAATAATATAAAATATTAGAAAAAAATAACAATTTGATCTTGTATCCAACATAAAATAAACACACTCATATAATACCTATATTCAAAGGTTCAACTTAGAATTCTAAAAATAGGAGGTATGTGAGGAGGAAAATCGAAAAAGAGGCGTACTTCGCAAACTTAAAAGAAAAACAACGTCGTATGACCGTCAGTTAAGAACCTTGTTGAGAGTTGACCTGTGGGTGTGTAACGCCATTTTTATCACAGATTCAGTGTCAAACCGGGACAACCTTAGTAGCCTTAATTTAGCTGTTGGTTTATTATATTACCATACATTTATAAATTATATTAAATCTCATCTAACAAGTATAATATAACATATAGCATTACAACAAAATAACAATTTGCACTTGTATCTAACATAAAACGAAAATTTAAACACTCATATAACATCGATGTTCAACTTAGAATTCCAAAAATAGGGTTATGCTAGGAACAGGGAGAAAACTGGAAAAGATGCGTACTTCACAAATTTAAGAAAAAATGAAGTCGCATGAGATGGTTGTCATGCCGGTGGCATGCCACCCGGTTGAACCTGGTTCAACCTGTACCGGTCATGAAACGGGCATGACACCACCGGTATGATCGACTTACGCATTTTAAATAAATTGACATCATTTTAATGAATTTAATGAATAAAAAAAATAATTTATTATTCATTTTATGAATGTAATAGTTAAACGTTGATGATATTTGTTGGATTGTAACTAAATTGTCCACAAATATGTTTTATATATGATTAAATACATTGAAAATTAACTATTTTCGCATTTTTTAAACCGGCATGAACCGGCACAAACTGGTTATACCACCGGTCGTACCATTCCACTTGTCAAACTGGCACAACGGTATAAACCGGTTTAACAATCTTGCCCGTGACCTTCAGTTAAGAACTTTGTTGTAACCTGCGGGTGCGTTCAGGCCCGGCCCAGGCCCTGTGCTGGTCAGACCCACAGCACAGGGCCTCATAACTTTAAGGGCCTCATATGATTCATTTATATGGTATGGGCCCAAGTTATTAATTCGTTGATATGGCCAGGAAATTATATGTGGGCCTAAGTTAAAAGAAATAGTTATTAACTCGTTTATATGGGCCATGTAAGGATTTATGGGCCAAATTTAAAAGAGAATGAATTAGTTAGTTTTTCAGTGGGTCCAAATTAAAAAGAAATTAAATGGATTTGTTGATTTTTAATGGACCTAATTTAAAAGAAAGTGAATAGAGTAGTTGGTCTTTTAATAGGTAATATTTGTTCTAATTAATTGTGACAAAATCATGACTAGTGCAGCCAAGAGCCACGGAAAAGAGGCCTTAATTATTTTTAATAAATTTACAACGAAAAAATTTTAGGGCCACATTTTAAAATTTTGAACAGGGCCTCGGAATATTATGGGCCGGCCCTGGGTGCGTTGTGTCACTTTTTATCACTGGTTCAGAGTCAAACCGGGGCAACTTTGGTAGCCTTCCAGTTGTGAATTTAGGTTCGACCCATAATAAATTTGAATTTTTAAAAATACCAAAGCTATTATAGAAAATTTCCACCGTATCATTTCTTGTAAGTCTCTTACATTGACTTCACACTTATTATGACGACAAACTAGCGATCACAAACACATCCGCGTTATTATAGATTAATCCACAATTAGGACGACGCAACCCTAATCACGGAACCAAAGTACTCGAAACCAACAAATTGCACAACGCGTCGGGAAGTAGCCAGCCCAGCCCGATCAACAAGACCCGAGCTTGATGACCCGAACCCCGTTGCAAGCAGCTTCGGGACACCCGCACCCGTAGGTCACACCGTTAGCTCCACAAACCGGGTCGGCCCGGAAGCAGTTGATGTGGCAGCCGCCGGATGGTGGAGCCTTCAGAGCCACTCCGGCGCATAAGTTGGGCCTGGGCCGGCTTGTTGCTGCGGTGGTCGCGGTGAACAGGCTGAATATTATCAGGATCGTGGCCAGGACTAGGCCCAATCGATTGATGGTCGTCGGAGCAACTAGCTTCTTTGATGCGGTAAGAGCCATAGCTAATTAGGAAGCACGTCGGCGGGAGTAATTAATTGATCGGGCCTTGATCGGAGGAAGAAGGGAGGAGGGACGAATTTATAAGGCCGTAAGGAGGAAGGAGGAAGCTAATTAAAAATTTAACACTTGTAGCTAAACTGTGATTTAATGTATAAAAATAGGGATGGCGCGTTGCATTATTTGACTTTGACTTCTCCTTGCTGTGGGTTGTGGCAAGGGGATTTGACTTTGAGTGTAATGAGAAGTAGTTGGTGGCATTTGTATGACTTATCGACTTCATCACTTTCTACAAACTAAATATGATAATGATAACATTGAATGTATGACATTGGTAATCCTTACTATCATGCTAACTATGAGTTGTAGTAGTACTTTATAGTTGTAGTTATTATTTACATAGTTAAATCGTTATATTTTGTTGTAGAATTACAATTTCAACGTGAATTACACCAATTCATTATCAACATGATACTAATTTTCTGTAAGATTAGCCCAAATATCTGGTCCGTTAACATATATTATTTATTTATTTATTTATATTAACGCATGGGATCGGTACTCATAGGCGAAGGCAGGGGCATTAGCCCTTGTCACGGGACAGGGGCAAATTTCGGAGTGGAAAAAAATACCTATATATATTTATATTGATGATGAAACAAATAATTAAAGGTGGTATTATAGTATTTTATCAGTACAACACAACTTATTAGTGGTTCATAAACTGATATAAACTTAATTTATTATACTATAAATGAATTTTTAATTGCAATAAAGACCTAATAAAATCATTTTTCTCTTTATGTCTATTCATTTTTCCCAACAATCCTGAAATTTTTCAGCGACAATGACAATTCCACTAGTTTTGATTCTACCAATTTGCAACTATAAGTGCAGAAAGAACATTTTCAGCTTTGAGTTATATTAAGAACAAGTTTTGAAGTCGAATTGGCGACTAGTTTGCTAATGATTGTTTAGTGTGATACATTAAAAGAGACTTATTTAACATTGTAGACAACAAATGTTTTGTGGTTTTTTTTTTCACAATATGAAATTCCGTCGTGGTTGCTTATGAAAACAGTGATTTTATTAGTCGATTATTTTTTATATGTGAATGAATTATTTGGATATAATTGGTTTTAATTTTATTTATGAAATATTTATTAATTAAATATTCATACATTTATATTATGAAAAGAGGACAGGGGTAGTTTCAAATCCTGCCTCCGCCACTGTCGCTACTGATGCAATATGAATCCATTTTCCTAAACTGGCTTTGTAGTTTGAAGTATTTTTTTTTAGTACATGTTTGAACAAAAACCATGTGCAGAGCAATAAAAAGTCAAGCTAATGCTGTGTTTCACGAGCTTGAGCTCCAACATTTAATAATCGATAGCTGGAATATGCAAACTGTCTGCTTGCCAACTAATGCTTCCCAATCCTTCATCTCCAAATTTAGATAAAATACACATAACAGAGGAAAAGCCAACAATTAATAGTTGTTGCAGCCCTTTATTTACGTATCCAAGCTGCAAAAAAGCATGCCTGGCAGGCAGAGGGTATAGTATAACATTACATAAGAGGAGGAATGAAAAAACAGGAGGTATTTTTCATTCCTCCCAGTTATGAATTACATGCATAAAATAAAACAGAGTTTTTATTATTCATATTAACAGGGGCCAAGCCTGACGACTCGAACGGCGGCACAAGCTGCGTCGGGGCAACCACAGCGGTACGTGACGCCGTTAGCGCCGCAGACGGGGTTAGGGCTGGTGCAGGTGAAAGGGCAGACGAACGGAGGAGATTCGAATTCACAAGGATCACTCTGCGCCGACGCCGTCGCCGCGAAAACCCCAAGCGCCACCACCACCGTCATTATCATCATCATCATCAGTAGCCACTGTTTCCCGGAGGACGCCATGATCAGTACAATTCAACTATTTTTGCCGTGCTGTTCGAACTGATCTTTGAGAAATGAATATAAGAGATGAGGCGATGAGATTTACATTATATAGAAGAAGATTTGGCAGCAGTATTCGTAGCGGGAGGGATGATCACGTGGATCAAATTGGGACACGGAATCAAATGGAAATGAGTACGTAAGTTATGGCTGGTGGTGGTCTGATCCAAAGCCAGCGGGTTGGCGCCGCTATGGAGGAAATATTGGGAAGGGAAACGTAGGCTTTGTTTGACTAACGACTACCTAACTCGAGGTTGAAGAAGTAGCTATATCCTCTGTCAAGAAGGCGTGATCGAAGAACTTTCCGCTGTTAAAAGAAAAAGATAAGTAAGATGATGATGCAAGGGGAGACGATCCAACGGACGTTCAATGACCGTTCGGTTCTAGCCTCTCGTGTGAGTTTAACTGATTCCCTTGTTTAGTTTATGGTGAATATAGTTTTATATTCTCCGCGAGCACTCTCAAACTCATGTTCTTTAATGTGACTGCTTGTTGTGGGTAATCTAAATATTTCAAATAAGTGATTTTGAACCACATGGCGCTCAATTGTATATTCGTTTTTTCATGCACGTAATTGGTAATGACCTAGTTGTGCGTGGTTCGAAGCACATGTCTTTGTTGGTGATTGAGGCTCTCCATCCTGATGTCTACAATTCATTTATTCTAGAGCTACTTGCCGCACTAGAGGCTCCCCTTTGGTTGTTGTATCTCGAAGACTACCTCATTTGATTTTGGAAGGTCACTCCGAGGAAGTGGTATGCCGGTTTTGTCAATGTGTGGTAACGGATTTGCTTGGTGAGCCCCTGCTCCAGGAATGTTGTCATTCTTTCTCTACCCTTTCCATTTGTACAGGTTTTAGGGAGGTGTCGCGAGGCCGCACTTTAGACTGATCATAGAGTGGCACTTAAAGTCATGTTATTGTCTTGTCTAAACCTAGCTTCTTTTTTCTTGTTAGGGAGGCTCCACTTGTGTGTTGCTTTGGGAGGATTCATGAGATGGCTTTTGATTTCTTTTCTAATGTTATCTCTTGATATATTTTGGAGAGGAAAAAGGAAGAAGATCTCATGATTGTTTTGTGCTTGTTTGACTATATATGGAGCTAATTGAGGTGGAAGAGAACATGCACGCTCAAAATTCAACCAAAGCTAGTGGGTTTAAGGAACTTCCTCCTACCTTGTAATTCGCTTAAACCCATAAACAATTGTGATTTTGATGCTGCCTCACTTCTATATTCAGATCCACACCCTCTCCCCATTTCCTTCGTCTCCAACTTTCAATGTGCCCCTCTTGCTAACTTTCTAAAGACCAACTTTGATAATGTTGTCTGTGACTCTAGATGTTTGTCTGGCCTAGCTAGTTGTGTGTGGTTCGGAAGTGCATGTCTTTGTTGGCCATAGGGCTCTCCATCCTTATGTCTTTGATTTCTTCGTCGCAGAGTCATGTACTGCTAGAGACTCCCTGTCAGTTGTTGTTTCTCGAGCACTATCTCGTTTGATCTTGGAAGGTCATTCCGAGGTGGTGGTCCATTACTTTTGTCAAGGTGTGGTGACGAGTTTTTTTGGAGAGCCCCTGCTCCAGTAATGTCGTCGGTCTTTCTCTGCTCTTTCCATTGGTATAGTTTTTAGGGCGATCTCGCGAGTCGCAAGTTGGACTCCTCATACAATGGCGCTTAAAACTTTGTTGTTGTCTTGTCTAGAGCTAGGGAGCTAGCTTTCTTTTTTCGTTTTGTGGTGGCTTCACTAGTATGTTGCTATGGGAGGGTTCATGGTTTGATTTGATGGTTTATTTTCTAATGTTATCTCTCGATATACCTTGGAGAGGGAAAACCAGAGAAGATTTCATGACTAAAAGGTTGTTTAGTCAAATGACTAAACCCCTTCTAACTCTTAGATCGAATTTGTTAACACCTTACTAGTTCGCTTGACACAGTAGCAGCGAACAGTCCCAAACTATAGTATTTTGGAAATTTTTAGTGCAAGTGTTGTATGTTGGAAATTAGTTTTTATTTAACCATGGTAGTTTTTCGAAAGAATATCCTTAATTCGATGTTTCAGTTAGATTTCTTCCTACTAGATTTCTAAATATGCAACTGAATTTTTTCATTAATTAATAAACATAAATTTAATTACATTGCCCGCATATAACGAATTTCTTCTAAGCCATAGTATTAACCTTCACAGCTTTATTCGGTTGGAATTCAATTAAACACAAACAACTCATGTGTAATTAGAAGAAGAAAAAACGAGGACGTAACCGATCTCTAATGCCAGAGCGTTCCTGAGAAAGGGAGGATCTCTGATTCTAAATTTCGCTGCTTCATCTCCAGCCTCTAATTTCCCCTCCCAACTTTCTCGCTATCTATTAATACTTAATTCTCTTCTGCTTTTCATCCCAAATTTTCATTTCCTTTTTCAATTCCTTTCCTCGGCAATCCATCTCCCATATTCCCCCCTCACAATTTATACAATAATGGCGACGTCGGCGTCCTTCCGTCAACAGATGGCGTTAGCCCTCGTATTGACATTGGCGCTCAGCTTGTCCGTCCTCCCGTCGACGGTGGAATCCTCCTGGTGGAGGCACTCGGTGGACGGCGACGTCTGCAGAGGGATGAGCGACCCGGACCCGGAGTCCTGCCCCGTTTCCTGCCTCATATCCGACCCGGTCTGCGGCGCCGACGGCTACACCTACTGGTGCGGCTGCCAGGACGCGATGTGCTCCGGGACCCACGTCGTCCGATCCGGAGAGTGCTGAAAACAAAAAAACACCAAACGGAAAAACGAAACCCGCCGTCTGTCTGTATGCGCAATGTTTGTTTTTTTTCTTTTCTTTTTTCTCATTGACTCCGTTTCTTTAATTTTCAGCGTTCCTTTTGTAAGTTTCAGTGTTCATTTGTACGTTCTTTTGCCCTTCAGATTCTGTGATGCATGTGTTTCAGTGTTCATATTTTACATATAATATATATCCATATACATACGTGACCTCAAATCATGTGGATAACTATATATCTCCATCAGTCTTTACTCAATTTTTATTTTCAAGTTTGGGGTATGAAGGTAAATTTGATTTATGTTCTTACTAATTGAATTTTTATAAATTTATCTTTTGATTTTTTAATTTAAATAATTTATTTTACTTGTACGAGCACCGACCGAGAGACGACGAGAAAGGGTGGTAATTAAGGAGAGATGCAGAGAGGTGGAAGCAGCGGATCTGGTTGTCGTCGACACGAGAGATCGAGAGGAATCAATCCGAGCAACTAGGAGCAAACAACACATCTTACTCAGCGGCGGATCCAGAACACAGAAAAGCACTGGGCCGCATTTCATTAGAAAATTAGAATCGTAAAAAAAATATTATAGTTTTTTTTACAATATAAATTATACACGTCGGTATTTTAATTTAGCGAATACATCAATAATAATGGAGTCCACATCCATACCAATACTATACACTATTTTAAATAAAATACTTGAGTAATCGGTGAGAAATTCATCACTCGTTTTGTTGCACAAATCAGTTTTCACATGTTTCATTGTTGAAAAGGTTCTCCACTAGCTGCTTTAGTAAATTTTCAGGGAACAAAACTCATATTTCTTATACTCTTTTGTTTTAGACTTTCAGAATTTTAGATTTTATTGTATTTTTAGAAGAATAATCTTTGGAGCTAGAATTTCTAGGCTAAATTTATAGTAGTGATTTGAATTTGTTAATTTGAATCACTTTTCTAGTTACACCCAATCTTATTATAAAATAACACTGGACCGAATAACTAAAATCGAAAAAATTCATAAAGACTATACTAACTCCGGATCCAGATGAGGGCTGGGCCGGGGCCCGGGGTGGCCACCCCTGGATCCGCCAGTGATCTTACTATCATTCAGCCAAACGAGTTATTTTTTTTCCCCCAAAACAAATCACGTAAGTAATCAATCCGAACGATCCCTAAGGGGATTTCTTAGAGTTTTTTCAACGATTAGGTTCTGACAATCCTGAGACTTCATCATATCAATATCCTAAGAACGGTTATCACTATTAATGAGTGTACTCATCTGAATCATCCTAATTGGATTCGGCTTTGTGATAAATCATAAATGTGAGCAACAAAATAACGTGCCTAACCTAAATTACACAGCGAAGAAAGTTCGTATATGTTTTTCTTCGAGCTGGAGCATCATTCTGTGATCACCACAAGGGGGAAACGCAAACTTGTGTAACACTTTTTCCAGCCTTACAAACAAGCTAAAAACTACCTTCTTGACCACCTTCTTTGTGGGCTACTTATACCTCGACTGCTCTATATTCAACGGCCACCAAACTGTTTCTTTCTGCGGGCACCTGCTCAAAGACGGTAAAAAGAAAACAGAAAGAACAAGTTCAGTACTATATTTGAGACAGTTGGGACAAGTTCTCACCACAAGATGCACTACATTTCTTTCAGTCCAAGTAATGTCACCCAAAAAGTAAACATAACCCATTTGTGATCATGGCTAGTTTGACCCTTGAGCACCACAGAACCCAATTACTAGGACTTACACGAGTCAAGTGACAACTTACCTCCAGGGGTTTTGCTCCAGAGGACTTGGCCATCTATCCCGGTAAGTTTCCCATCATCGAGCCGTTTCCAGGTCTTGATCGACTTGACGGCACCCCACTCCCCACTCTGCTGCTTCTCCAGAGAAGCTACCACTACTCTAGCCCTCCTCGACCATCCAGCCTTTCCATAGGCATGGTAACCGAAACCTCCAGCGTAACAAAGTTGAATGCCTGTCAGCCTGCCACAGAAGTCGTTCAAATGATCATGGCCTATGAACGCAGCCTTCACATCTCCTGCCTCCACCAAAGTAGTGAAGAAGCCCGAGTTGACACTAGCGGAGCTGATCCCTTCTTGTCTAACCCCGGTGAAATTGGATGCATCGAAACTTGCAAATTCAGGCAAAGGAATGTGGAAGTAAGCCAGCCCTGGTGCTGGTCCTTTCTGAGCTGCAGGGCTGCTCATGTATGATTTCTGAATACACAGATTGAAAAGAAAGGGAAACAGTTAGCTCATAGCTTTAACTAGGGATGACAGTTTCGCAGTGAAATGTTTGCAGCTCTAATCTATTTAAGTTCTTGTAGAATGTTTGCATATTGCTAAGGTCCTGTACTATCTCATTCATTTGAATATGGGTGATATACTGATATTGCCGTTCCTAGCTACAAAACAAGGCGCAAACCAAGCATTCAGTTTTTCTTTTTTTCCAAATTCAGTAGTTACCCGGAGTTTAGCAGATGTGCGTTGGAACCAGAACTGCTGAGAGGGTTTGATCCAGCCATAGCCAGGGATGGAAGGAACGGTGGAGTAGTCACCGCTGTCGAGGAAGTAGAGGTTAAGAACCGATTTGTTCTCAAATGTAGAGCCTTGAACTCCTCCAACCTCCAGATTGTAGTTCCCAAACCCATCGATCACGCGCACCTCGGGTGGATTGACCCTGGCAAGTGTGTTTTTCATTCCAGCTATATATTTCATCACTCCTTCCCTTGACAAGCTAGATTCCTGATCATGGTTCCCTAAAACAGCAGCCCAGGGAATGCCAGAAGCTATTGCTGGTGCAAATGCAGCATTCATGGATTTCACCGGGTCCGCAACATCGAACCCATAGATGTTGTCCCCTATTACAGTAAAGCAGATTCATTATATAAAAACTATTGAGAAAGATCAAATGCCCCGGAGATTGGGTTTCTGTTCCACAACCACAGAGCTTAATTTTTGCAGGAAAGCTTGTCAAGTGAATGATATGAACAACTTAACCAAATCCCAACTATGACGATGCTAGCAAAGATGCGATTCTACGAGGGGAATGGTCAAAATGTTAACTTTTCACTAAGGGCATGCTCCCGTCCAGTCCCTAATTCAGTAATTTCTTGTAGTGCAGCCCTAAATGAATGATTAAGGAGGGAGAGAAGAGATGGGAACTTTTGGGTACCAGTGAAGACGATGAAATCCGGCCGCTCAGCTCGTATCATCCGTTCAACGAAGGCGGTGGTGTTGAGGTCGGAGCAAGTGGGCAGCTGGCTCGGGAGGACATCCAAGCAGCCGGTGGACTTGCCGTTTCCATAGTGCATATCCGCCACTTGCAGAATCTTCAACTGCCCATTCTTCCCAAATCGCAGCCGCGGCGGCTGCTCGATCCCGGCCACCACCGCGAACGCTGGGAACAAACAGAAGCACAAATATAGCATCGCCGCCGGCGGCAGAGAAACTGACTTCATTCCTCCTGATTTTTCCGGTGTGTTTTTGGAAGCCGAAATGTGATATGCGCTTTCACTCTTATTTTGGGTGGGTATGGGCTTTAAGAAAGAGGAGAAGGACGAAGAAGTTGCGGGAGCGGTCAAATGAAGTCCCAATCACAGCTGAGAAACGAAAGGATTCTTCGCAAAAACCAAGGGAGGGAAGCAAACCAAGACAAACTTCCAAGAATAGGAGTCAGAAATGCGGATATACTCGGGAATTAAAATGGAAAGAATCAAGCAAGGAAGCGGCCATATCTGCATTCCTGACTCCTATTATTGGAAATTTGTTTTGGTTTGGTTCACTTCCTTGTTTCTTGGGATTAATTACATTCTGAGCTCAACCTCACTAGCTGAGGAAGGAAGGAATACATACAAGAATGACAAAAAAAAAACATTGAGGGGACTTGGAGGAATCTTTTAGCTAATTCTCGGTCGGTTAAATCTGATCGAATTGGAAGTTCATTACATAAACAATGTCATGAAGTGAAATGTTACGAAACTCAACACAAACCACAGCACAGCAGCTTCCAGATTTTAACAGAAACAACTTGCAAGACATGAAATGAATCAGCATTCCTTCAAAAGCTATATCCTTTTGGCTGAATTCCATCCCAACTATTCCAACTCGCAAGGACGTTTTCTACGGTTGAATTTCCAATGTAGCTCTTGCTTGATGCATTTGCATCACCAAGACATGATTCATTTCTCAAAATGGCACAAAGATATAGCATTGCAATAAGCTAGCTTTGCATTACCTGCAAGGAAGAAAACGTGTATTAGTACGAAACCATCATCACCCCCATGTCATGTTCTTTTCCCACACAGGTGGAAATGCGATAAATCGGGATTCATTAGTCTGGAGGCGAGAATAGAGTGCTGCTCAGTTTACCTGCAATGTCAGCCAAGTTGAAGATTGAAGGAACATTTGGTTCCGCCTCAATAGCAGCTTTGGCCGCTGCAATGCCAACTCCCACACTCTGCAGAACATCTAAGCCTGAACAAAGGGAAGCAACTGTGCCAGCTACCATGCAATCACCAGCTCCAGTGAGTCTCACAACAGATGCCGGAAGTGCAGGAAAATGCACTGCAAACATAGGAGAGCTACCCTCGACTTGCATTGCAGCAACGGGTCTAGGAGGACAAGTTGATGTCAATGTATCATACACCCATTCACCAACTCTGCTATTTTGAGTTATCTGCAACCGAAATTTAAGGAAGTCTGGATTCTTAGAGCAAAGGAAGAGTCCATCTTCACCAACAGTGACAGCAAGCATCTTAATTCCTTTCTCCAGCAAAACCAAAATAGCTGGTTTCAACTTGTGAAACAATGACTTTCCAGAGTACTTTCTGTTGCCATCCCTTTTGACCAAATGAAAAGTATTTCCACCAGAAACTGCATTTGCCATGGAAACAAGCTCGTCTTCATTAGGTGAAGCAAAAGTTACCTGCAGATATCCCTCTATCAGTTTCAACTTCAATATAAGGAAAAAACAGGAAGCCATGAGTTATATGACAATAAGCAAGCTTCCTCAAAATTGGGGCTTCAGTAACTGATGCTTCAAGACTGCACATTATCTTGGACCATATTATCTAGAAACACTTATTATAGACAAAAGGAAGGATAAGTGATCATGCTTATACATTATCATTTATTCCTTAATAGTTCGATCAAGCAGGGTTTTATTCGACATTTAAGTATTTTGCAACTGAGTATTTTGCAACTAAAGAGTATTTTATTTGATCAAGCAGGGCTTATCAAAAAAAGTATTTTGCAACTAAAGAGATTCTTGTACATTTGGCAAATGAAATAGGTTTAAAGTTGAAGTGAATGTGGGGCACTGAACTCTACTTATAAGTCATGATCTCCACAGACTATGAATTCTCTCCCTATTTTCGTTCTAGCCAAAGAAGAGAGTATAAAAGTTTGAGAACTCACATACTTAGCAATGGAGGATATTCTTGTGGACTTGGCTACTGACACTGGCTCAAACCAAACAGGTACATCGAACTCAGCAGCCACTGGTAAAAGCATAAATTAAATAGTAAGTAAAATGTGGAAGTACAAGAAGTAGAGGAGCAGTATAGGGGAAACCGAAACTTATGCTATATAGTACCTTGGCAAGAAGCTTCTAAGGCAATAGGACTTAAGTTCGCATCCACAACCAGTATAGGAGCAGAACGTATACTGGACTTGCACTGCTGAATCCAAGCAGGGGTCAGGAAATTTTCCTGGGAAATAATCATTATTCAGATAAGTTAGATCCTAAATATTTTATTACTCTAGAAAGTCATTAAAACTGGCTAGGAATTCGACCATACCAGTGCATCCACGTTTGCAACAGCAGCAGCCAACTCTCCATCAGTGTCATATACGTTGCAGATTACAGCCGTATTGATATCCTGGTGTTTCCGTATCCCTGTCCTTGCAGCAACATAAGTGACAATTGATAATTTTCTCCAAAAAAGCAACTAAATCATGGTATTTCATAAAAAATTTTGTTGTTTGTTCTACTACTATCTTAAGCCTCCAACAGAAAAAGGGAGCTTGGTGGATTCCCATACAATTTCACTGTCCAATACATACAGATATAACACACAAGGAAAGAGTATCCTTAGAGAATGAACGTTTCTAAAATAGTGATTAAATTATGGTTGAACGGGCAGGCTTTAACCTCAGTGAAATAAACATGTCCAACTGCTAACAAAAGGGGGAAAAAAACAGAAACTTGTTTGGTCGTGGAGCATGAGCTCCATAAGGAGGGAACATAGTATGTTCAGACAAAACATGTTAGTTTTTTACAAGTATCGGAAGCTCCATGAGAACAGAACAGATTAGGTCACCACATCGTTAAGTTAGTTAAAAAGTGGGGGAAAAATCGAACCTTCAGTGCACAGGCCAGCTAACTTCCATTGCTCCAACAGCAGGTTCCCTAATCAAATATGCAGAGAAACTTTATGAAATCAGCAAGACAGACGAAGGGGAGAAAACCCTGAAGTAGTTCAGAATAACAAAGCGTAAAGGCAAATGCATTGCTCTAGCATTCAAATTGAAATCTAGAAATCAGACTGGCACTGTGTAAGTATATGTGGACAACGACAGAAGAGCACACAAACCAATTAAAGTAGCCACAAAGTACAAAAGGAGGAAGCTTCAACTCCACGAATCAATATCCATTATTGGGCAAAGACATACACGGTTATTCACCTTAAGCAGGGACCCAATCCTAGCCATCCAAGTAAATAAGTTTACATCGAGAAAGAAGGGCAAAACAAGGCTTAGAATGCATAAAGAGACAACAGGAAAAGGTAAGGGCTTATACCAGCAATGTCGTCTCCCACAGCACTAATCATGTAAGGCATTGTGCCAAGCTTTGACATGCATTCTGCAATGTTCCTTCCCACACCTCCTAGCACATAACGGACCTACAACACAATCAACCCTTGAAATCAGAACCAGCAGAAGATGGTTGTTCACTATTTCAAGTTCTCGTTGTATACAACTGGGCCAAACATGCTCTGTACAACTGGTTTGGTTTCTAATTTTCAATATATTCCTTAGAATTTCGGATCAAACTTTGATCATAACTCATAAGAGCTAAACGGGCGGAACACAAGCGCGGGCACACACACAAATTATCATCCATTGATCAAGATCAATAAAAATGTTCATGATCCCACTTATCAGAGAAGGAGATAGAGAGGGCAAACAGAAAAGAGACCTTTCCAGGAGTTGTGGTTCTGGGTTGTGGAGAGGTGGAAGGAATGGCATGAATATCCAACACCATCCCGCCTATGACTACTGGGTCTCTTGCTACATCGTCAATTTCTTGGCCACCTCTCGTCGCGGCCTTGAAACAAAGCAGATGGGCGTAAATAAGAACGGCAGAAGGTTGCATCATATGCAAAGAGACTGGCAGCAAACAGTTCTGAATTACAGATAGAGAAAAGGTAAGAACATGGAAGAGCGAAGAAATCCGAACCTGGTGAAGCACATGGTTAAGTTTTTGGAGCGGCGGGCAGAAGTGACGGCAAATACGATCAAGTCTCCGCTCAGCAGGACTCGCCATTTGGCTCATCTCCCGTCTCTCCCGAGTCTACGGGTTCACTTCCATGTTTCTTCCCTAGCGATGCTACTGAGATGGTCAATTTGGAAAAGCCCACCAGCGATGGCAATTGGCAAATACTTGTTGAGCATCCACGGGCCACTGACCGACCGGGCCACGGAGTAAATTGACAAATTCGTGGTTTTATTTGTAAATACAATATATTAGTAAGAAACCGGAATTATTCTAGTATTCAAAATATTAGCTACAATTATCGAAATACAAGTTTGTGAATGTTGAATGTTGGTTTCTCAATGTTAGGTATCAGTTGTTTTTGTAGACCTTCAATATTAGTTGTTTGATGTTGAATACCAATTCGTGAACGTTGAATACTCGTTTGTCTGATGTTGGATATCGGTTATTTCATATACATTGGTTGTTTATATGTTGAATACCAGTTCGTGAACTCTGAATACTAGTTTCTTTGTATTTTTCAAGTCTTGTGAAGGATGTATCCCGTTGAAGGTGTGTTAAAGAAAGGAAACTCGGTCGTTCCCTTGTCGTAGCCTAGCCTTTTCAATTTTCGTTTTTGGGACTTGTAGAATGGAAACTCGTAAATCGTAATTAATGATGGATGGGGAAAGTAGATAGCACTTAAATACTTTTGTTTTTCTCCCACATATTCGGACTAAATCGTGCTAAACCAACGGATCATTAACCCTTCCACTAGCTCGATCGGGCCTGCGGGCCGAACCGGTTGACAAAGTTGTTGTGCGGTGCCTAGCTTCTTTTCCGCGGTTCAGTTATACCTGCCGGATCTCAAATTCTAATCATCATAGGAGACCGCGGCGAAGAAGTAGCGAAACCATCATCTGGAAAGGAAAAGGAATAAAGTCTGCGTCTCAGTGATCGCCATAAGAACACGGCCATTGACGGAGATTGTCGTCGCCTAAGTCATCTGCCGACGGTTGAGAAGCGAGAGGGAAAGAGGCGCTTGAACGGAATCAGTAAGGCCACCCTCTCCTCGTTCCCCTTCTGTAGCGTGAAGAGAGAAAGAAAGCGGCAAACTAATCTTTCTTACCCAGTTTCTTTCTCGAACCGACAAAGCGAACCCTAGGTATCTTATTCGCTTCTTTTGGTAGCAATCCGTTTCGACTTAGTTATGGGGCCTTATGAATCAAAAAGGTTTGACATTGATTGATGGTTAGAAGGAAAAAGATTTCCCCTTCTCGTTTTTTCCCCCCTGGCATTCTGTTTTGTAATGCGCAAGGTAGCGTCCTCTTGCTTTTGTGAGTCATTGGCTGCTGCATCTGGAGGCTAATCCTGGGATTATTATCTGTCGCTGTATTTGGAACGAGAACCTTCTGTTGCTTGCTTGAGTTAATCTGAGGTTCCAAAATGTCATCTTGGAAAAGCAGGAACTTGCTATTTTGTTTCATGGGATGCTTCTAATGAACTGTATATGATTTTGTTATAGACAAATGGCATTGACAGTTAGAAGCATCTTTTTCCTTCCCCAGTTTGATTGTATGACAATCACAACCAATTTTCATTGTATGAGGGGCGTGCCTTAATTTGTACGCTGATGTTCTGTTTTCCTCAATCAGTTCATACATAATTCTTGTCTGGGTTCTTGCCAGTATCGCGGTTCTGTTTGTGTTGGCACTGTGATTTAGTTTGAAGTGTTGTTTCTCATTGCTCTAATGTTATCTGTATTGTTTTGCCCAATTTTTTATGCTTTCTCAGATGGAATCTGTTGTTGGATTGCAGGAAGTTCGTTGTGGTCTCTACTGAAGGCCAAAGTTTTTTGAGTGTAACTAACTTATTGCTCTGTGAATCTGCATCTTTCATGGCATTCCCAACAGAGGTCAGAACTTGCCTGGCTACCCTTTCTTCATGTTTTACTTTTATTCTAAAGGGGGTGCAATGTTTTATTCTGGATGATTTTGTTCAAACTTTGAGCATTTCGATAGAAACGTTTCCTGTTTACGTTAATGCGATTCTCTGATAAACTTTTACTTGAATTTCTTTGTGTTATTTTTTAATTTCTGCCGTAACTGGTAGGACTTAATTTTAATTGATAGCAAACCATTCTGCTCGATTAGGAATCTCAATGTTGATCCTTTCGTGTTTGGTCTGCAGGCTGGTTTGCAGCTACTACTTTATCCTCTCAATTCCAACATTGTTGTCAGAACAGCATGGTAAGCTATCTTGAATCGCAGCCATCTATTGCACTAGCCCATGATGTTGTAGGATTTGCCACAGTTAGGTTGTAGTTTGGTGCTTATTCATTTGAAAGAGTCAATGATTTTAGATCTATAGTTCTTAGGAATGCATTATGAATCATTTTGCTTAGTGATCTATAGAATAATGTAATTATGCTGATGATGCTTATGGATTGTTTGAAACAGCTGCTCTGTAGGGATTGCTTTGCCTGTTTATTCGACATTCAAGGCAATTGAGAGGAAAGATCGAGATGAGCAAAAGAAATTGCTTGTTTACTGGGCAGGTTAGTGTTCTTTTGTTTTGTGTTCATGTCAGAAGAAGTTCATCCCATTTTCTAGCCCTAGACTGTTGCTGGCTGAAATTAAGGTCAGGCATTAAATGCCCCCGTCATGTCTTTTCCATTGTGCTAGGTTAATCTCGAAAATTAATATCTACTGTTGAGCAAATGGCGTGTGCAACGCTTCATGTAATGGAAAAGTTCTTGACTGTCCTCCCTTGCTCTATCATGTGCTAAATTCATCTGCACTGGTTTTAACACCATCCAGCCCATTATTTTAAGGCATTGTCTCGCCATGTCTATTTAGACATGCAATGCCACTATTAGATGAAACTAGTTGTGAATTTTGGATAGATTATACGTCGAGTGAATTGTGCTAAAAGATTATATCAAGTGTTTTTCAATTACAAGCAAAATGACTAGGTTGGGTTTTTTTTGGCTGGTTGCCTCTTTTCCCATTAGTAGCTGTTTGCTTGAATTGTATCCTATTGCATTTGATGTGTTGGGAAGTGCTCTAATGGTTTAGTATATTTATCAGCTTTATAATTGTCCAGGCTCAGCCACCAATCTGGTGCGTTGTAAATAGCATTTTGTCCCCCAAACTTCCTCAAATGCACCATTGGGAATTACAAAATTTACAATTACGCCACATTATTTGAAATTAATCAACCAAAGCAGTGCCACTAGACTATTCGTCAAAAGCACCCCACCCCAGCAATGTTGTATCTTAGGATATTATTAATCATACTGGTTGTCATGCAGCTTTCGGAGCTTTCAGTGTTGCAGAGGCATTTACTGATAAGATCCTTTCTTGGTAAGGATTAATTTCCTATCCCCTCTCGTTTTGCCCATTTCTTACTGCTAAATCTGTTGCCTCTGAAATTCAACCTCTTCAATTGAAATTAGATGATATAAAGTGGCTTAGTGATTAAGCGGGTACTCTGCCATAATTCATTATAACCCTTATGTGGTTATTATAACCTGCTGTCTGCAACATTCCAAAACTGAATTAGCTCTTCTCATTGTGGGGTTAGTACAAACCTGGAGTGCTCCTTGAGTTTTGCAGAAATAAAAAAAATCTTACGACTTTTATTAGTGCATGTTAAACTTTTTCTACTCCTTTTGGTCCTTTGGTATCTGTTAATACGCATAGAATATGCCAAACATGTTCACAGGAGAAAGAAAAACAAGAAAGAGTTGTGCCTGTGGCACATTTTATATACCACTTTTAATTTTTTTTGTTAACATAAGTATCATCCATTACAAAAAAATTCACCTGCTCAACAATTGAAGGTTAATGTGATTGTTGTTGGCCTTTTTGTCTTGCTTATTTCAATGAGATTATTGTATGTTTATGTACATCTCTCCCGATTTTCATCAGGGTTCCGATGTACTATCATGTGAAGTTTGCCTTTCTCGTCTGGCTGCAGCTTCCATCTTTCAACGTAAGAAGTCCTCTTTATCCTGTTCTGTACGGTGGAGTTATCTTATTGCATGCTGATGATGCATCCGTTGAAACTTGCTTATGACAATTAAATATGAAACGAGTTATGAACGTCTTTTTCTGCTTGGTATCTCACAGGGAGCTGGGCAACTTTATTCAAACCATCTGCGTCCTTTCCTACTCAGGCATCAAGATAGGCTTGATCACCTTACCGAGGTGGTTAATGGCATGATGGTAAGAACTGTGTTGCATTCATATTTGTCAAACGTAATGTTTGCGTATTACTTATATGTTGGAACAGTTTGATGAAGTGTATCAATCCTAACGCTGTAACAGCTACTGCTTACAGAAAAATAATTTCGAGATTCATCTGATTACTTACCCCTTTCATCGATTTTGTTGCAAGGCTAAATTCATTATTGCCCATGAGGGAGAGTTCCAGCTTGCAAAGCTGATTTTCTTGAAGACTCTTGCATCAGGTATGTTCTGCTTGAACCCCTTGCACTACCTTCCAATTTTCGCACCGAAGCAAAACTAGCAGCTGCCTTAGGGCTTAGACATGCTTTTGGCTCAGCTAAAGCCATTTCATAACTTCTAATTAATTCCTCTTGAATCCTCTACCAGTCCGACAAACCATTCATCCAGCAGATAGCCCGGCAAATGGTGCTTTTCAAGGTCAGAGCAGACAAATTAAAGATTCGCAATCACTTGAAGATGAAGAAGAAGAAGAGGATGATGATGTGTGATGCTTTTTTTCTTAAACTTGACTGTGCAAAATAGGAACGTTTCAGAAGAACTGGTAACTTTTAGGGTCTATTTTCTATATTTAAATTTCCATTATGTTTATTTTAAATTATATGCTATTACTAGCTTGCCTGCTTCCTGAAAGAAGAGGCTGGTGCTGTACATTGTACAATGCTGTTCTAGTCTGCCTGGCGTTTTGTATAGAAGCTGAACATATTAGAAATAATGGAAAAAATTACAGTCTCCATTTCTTCATCCTCTCATTTGTTAAGATGGATTAACATTTCAATGTGTAAAAGTTCTCAATTTATAATGAGTGTTTATGGAACAATAATACGGTTGAACTGCTCGTTAAGAACCAAATTCATATGATTTTGGTCATTAAATTCGGAATCTAGATAATGACTGGAAATTATCTGTCCTGTCAACATAGTTGAATATCATCAGTTTAGTTAAAGTTATAGCGAATGCGCTTTCTTTAACGATTGGATTCACGTCCTTGTTACGCAGTTATAGGTTAAACTTGTACCGTATAGGTCATTGTGCCTTGAGGGTGAAGCTTTCTGTCAGTTATTATGTCTATTGATCAGCTTGATAACAGAAACTGAACTAAATTCATACACATCTTCATACAAACAACACCTGCTTGGCAGCAGCAGCAATAGTCCAAAACAGTAACAACTTCTTCCAGATAAACCATAACCACTGACATGAAAACATCGCCTGGATCAGATTCAAGTGCTCTTATCTTTCGCCGCGAACGCAGACGACTTCACCCAGGGGATCCAAACCGAAGTAGTCTTCTGATACAACCTATAAGCCTCCGCTCTATACTCCTGTTCCAACATCCGCCTCTCCACAAGCACGGTGACATAGGCCAGGCACAGACTGTTGACGAGAGCGCCTGCTGAAGCCCATCCATGGCCGAGATTCCACGCGAACAGAGCCAGTCCCCACCACCACAGCTGCTCCCCGAAGTAGTTCGGATGGCGAGAGTAGCTCCACATCCCTCTGTCGAGATTGGGCACCTTCGGTTTCCCGAGCCCTTCCAGTACCTCGTTCCTCGTGACGAATTCGTGGAGCTGGGTATCAGCAAAGTAGGCGACGACGATCCCAGTTAAGCAAACTGCAACCGCGGCGAAATCCCAGACGTTCAGAGGCTTGTCGACTGTGTGGATGATGTACATTGGCAGGCATATACCCATCAAGAACACCTGCAAGAAGGAAAGTTTGTGATTTTAACAAACACACCTCTCATTGCGGCAATTCGTCGAACAATTTTCCTGCGAGAATCAAATCAGGGTTTTGGGTTTACCTGCTGAGAGACGTAGACGGAGAAGAAGGACATCCACCACCAGTTGCCGCCGTACTGACGGCTCATATCAGTGAACCTCCAGTCCTCCCGGGCGCCAAACTGCCACTTCTCCCGCCTCAAGTAATTGTGGGTGAGCCTCAAGCTCCACAGCCAAGTCATGACGATAACGGTCCCCGATCGCCATCCGTCGAACTGGGCCAACGGGAAATTCGCGTAGTAGTATACGAGCATCACTGGTATCACCGTCCAGTACAAATCTATCATCTAGCGAAACGGAAACAAACACATTGAAAATGAATCGCCGACGGAGGAATTAAGTTTTGAGCAATGGAGGTGGGGAAATTGAGAGAATCAAATACCCAGTGGCTGGAAATGCACTGACTGACGACCCAGAAGACGACATTGACGTTGAAGAAGAAGAGGACGTTGGCGAGCAGAAGAGGGTGGGTAGCGCACCATGCCCAGACAGGGGAGAGAGCGGCTGCTCCGGAGCCGTCTGCAATGGCGGCGGATTCGAAGTTGCGGAGGAAGGAGAGGTAGAAGAGAATTGAAGGGAGCGGAACGAGGAACGCGATCACGGCGTTCTTCAAATTCCTGTTCATGGCGGCGAGCGATGGATGGATCGATGCTCTGTTTTCTTTTCCAGACAGGCTAGAGATGGAGGCTTATTATATACAGCCGCGTGTTGTCCTTTTCCTCCACAGTTTTTTTTTTTTTTCAAAAAGGAAATTTGATTTAGGGATAAGATATATACTAATCTGGTTCTCGTCACAAAAGCTTAATAGTGCCGCCGGCTACTAATCATGATTAAGGGCCCTAAGAGAGAGGTACCCGTTGAAAATGGGAATCACCATCAAGGATCGATCTAAGTTGATAAAAACGATTACATTCCTTGTACTATATGATTTATGCACAAGCATAACTACAAAAACAAAAAAATCTATCAGTTGTGGTGATGGTTATTTCTTCTCTATTTTTACTCTAAATTATAAAACTTTTCTATATTAGGTTCACATGCGGTTATAATTTTCGTATTTTCAAGCGGCCATGTTAGCATTCATCCGTTTTCTTAAGCCGGACACTTTTTTGTTAGCATTTAGTGTAAACTCCATACTTAAAAATCAATACATACCAAAATGTAATTAATATAAGTCAACCCATCACGAGGTCAACTGAAACATTTTAGTCATCCACTCGACGACTATAGAATTTCATCCCCCAACAAAATTCTAGATCGGGGTAACTTGAAACGACGAGGATGGAGCTTAGCAAGCAGATGCTGCCTTTGCGAGAAAGATTGTGAAACTGCAAAGCACATCTTCAGGTCATGTGATTTCAACAGCACAATATGGACTTGTTTTATGTAGATTCCGGATTTAAACAAGTAAAAAAAGAAACTGTAGAACTCTTTGATTTGATTCTCCTGTCATTAGAAAAAAATACTCAAATCCTCTTTCGGCCTTCCTCCCAAGCCAACGCGACAGAAGAGACTCTCGTCTACAATATCCCTAATGATTATGGCGCTCTTAATGATGCTTTTTGTGGCCTAAAGTGGAAGAATGGTGAGGTTAATGATTGCATTAACGCACACCATAGATACAAAGTTTGCACCGCAGCTTAATGGTCCCCCACAGACACCACTACCTTCTTCATCTTCATCCTCCTTTCTCCACTTCACCTTTCCCTTTTCCTCCCCGCAATCTTCGCACAAAGATAGAATGAAAGCACAAATATTTGCAGAGTTCGTATCATCAGAGTGATTTACATAATCATGAGAGCCAGCCAAGCCAAGCCAGCATCAAAGTGCAACAAGGAAGGAAGGGTCCACATTCTCAACCCATGCGCAGGCAGGACGGGCTGGCATCTACACCTGCCTTTTTCTGCAGCATGCTATATACCGCATTCATCCCCCATACTAATCATTGAGCTGTCAAATATGTAATTATGTATGTTGCAGTTGCAGTTGCACCACTAAGACCAAGACCGCATTTCCATTAGAATAGCAAAGCAACTAAAAAATCAGCAACCAGAGAACATACTAACACGACACAACGGGTATGGGGAGAAAGCCCCTTTCTTCCTGCTGAATGACATCGAACGTCGGGCTAACTAGCTTTTACTCAAGATAACTAACCACACACCCCAACAACATTAAGATAGATCCACCAGCAATCTGGGTACAGTTTTTAGTGTAGCTGACCTCAAAACTCTCATAACAGCAAATCCGCAGAAAATTTGGGAAGTCTCTCGGAAGACATGGGGAACAAAGCAAAAACTCACAAGGGCAGGAACCATTGCATTCAGAATAGGCAGTTTGCGCACAACATAATGCTGGACTACTCACAAAGAGCGCCCCCCTTTGGCAATGTCAGCTCTAATCGCTCGTTTAATCAGTTCTACAATGAACCACTGCAGTAATAGAAGGCTCGTAGTCATCAGAAATTTCATTTGAGAAAAAACCAACATGAATCATTCATTCAGAAAGACTCGTACCTGAACCCCGATCACAGCAGGGATGAGGAGCTTTCCCCTGTCATTAGAACCCGAACCATCAATCAACTTCTGGTCAACCACGATAGCTTTACTGCCATTTGTTGCGATGCTAATTATCTCTTCAACCAGAGACGGAATCCAAGCAACCCCATTTGGAAGAACCTACAAACACCGCAAGGGCAGGTAAAAATAGTCCACATGCCTCAGGTACGTATCAGGAACTCAACGGACATAAGTTCAGAGAAAGAAATCACACCTTTTCATCACTCTCGTTCTTATTGCATCTCCCACTGTTCTCAACTAAACCAACTGGGATAGGGTAGTCCTACACCCAAACAAACAAAAATAGAAAAAGAAAATAAGATAATATAATATATGGCCATCACCAAGATCAAAAGTTATAATTGGAAGACTGATGATCAATTTACATAGTCTCGGTTAATTTCCAATACATTCCGTAAACAAACCTGTATATCCTCATATCATCCATGCTATGTTCATAGACTGATCAATATGCCTTACAAGTTACATACTTGTGCCATTATGTTTATACGAACACCATCCAAGTGTAGTGAGGCCTACTTCTTAATGAGCAACGAAATAAACACATGACTAACAACATAATCAGCAGCCCATTTACCAACATAATTCAGAAATGGATATCTCTCTCCTTCCACCAGTAATGAAATGGTTCAAGTCAAAGATGGCAGGGAATGTTACCAACAACTATGACAATTTTACTAATGAATTGCATGGAGCACCAAACAGCAAGATAATGACCTCTCCTCTCTCTCCTCCTCTCCTAGTCCCCAATAGAAACTCCCATGGTTAGGTTTCTTCTCCTCGTTGCTTTTACCATTCTTTCACTATAAACCTTTTATGCATGAAAACATCTTGGACTAGGACCCTAATAAGAATCTATAAACCAGGAAGCATTAGGGTTCGGTTTTGCATCTTAAATGCATGACATTCACTAGCAGGAACAAGGCTTCCAACTAGCTACTAGTATAAGGAAACAACTTAGTGTAAGCGACAACACTGAAATTACAACTCAGAAACTTCAGCACTCAAAGAGGTTCACTTCCAGTATAAATAGCCAACTTTATAGTCGACACACTGTAAACTAATCCAATATTTACCAACACAGCACATACATTTTTATATAAAAACACTGCACATCCTTCAACATGTGTGAAAGGGGAACAAACAGCAATACCATCCACGCTGGGTCTATGTCTATTCATGTTCCGCTCACAGATATAAGCTCAATAGGAGCATTAAAAACCTTTTTCCAAGCCACAAGTCATATGCAGTATGCTTCCATATAAGGAAGACATTTCTGATACAACGCCGAGGAAAATCTTACCTCAGATTCTCGTTTCTTAATACAGGCTCCTGTACGAATTGTTTTTAAGACAGCTTCAGACCTTCTGGAGGTAAAGACCTCGTAGCTGATGTCATCTGGAGGGCAGAGTTGGGCGTGAGTCAGAACAAGCAAGCTTTTACTCCATATTTCTTTCCCAAAACCATCTGCAATTGCGCTAACTATCTGCCTATCCAAGTCATCAACTCTGTATGAGTCCAAGCGATCAACATAGAGTAGAACATCGATTGTCTTGTTCAAAAGAAACCTGAGTTGGAGAATGATAAGACCATCAATTAGCTACAAAGTAGCAAAAGAACCAACTACCCTCTCAAGAATTCAAGTTCTAGTCAACACTTTGTTGAACAAGAAATCAACTTTCTGAAACCCATTTGCTAAAACTTGAAAGCCATAATGTTTCTAGCAATACTGACCGCTTAATCAACTCTAGGGCTGGATAGTTTACATAGCCACCTTCCACAAGCCCTGGGGTGTCTATGATGTTAATAGTGAATCCAGAACGTAAACGTGATACCATCACCGGTCTTACAATCTCAGCCTGCAATGGAATCGATTTCGTTGCTATCAGAGAAGCACACTCCAAAACATAAGACAAACACATATAACGTTCCCAAAAGCCAAAGTTTAGTATTCGCATACTTGGAAGGAATTCACATTCATCACACGCTCCCCGATAAGGGAGTTGACGGTGGAAGATTTTCCAACCCCACCTTTGCCCATTACAAGGATGGTCAAAGTATTTACACCCTGCAAATTGCTCAGCGACAGACGCATAAAAGATAACATTAGTTGCAACAAAGAACAAAGGGGAACAGAAACTGAAAACAGGGAAAAAAGGATAAGCTATACAAGGACTTGGAGGTACCTGTTCCTTCAATTTTCCAAACAAATCAACGAGCTTGTCCTGTGTAGCAGTCGGAAACTGCTTGAAACCGACCCATTCACGCGCTGCAGAACCCATTGATGCCTACGCCGAATGGATGAAGCGGAATAAACAAAACCCGGAATTATTCAAGCAACTCTTTTGAGAAAATTGAGACTACAAAAAAAAAAACTGAAAAACCCTAAACCCATCATAAGTTCACCTACAGGAATGGAAGTACAGCGAAAGGAAAGTCGAATTGATTGACTGTATGGCAAAGAGATAAGAAAACGGAGAAACGCGACAAGCATGAGAAGGGAAAGGAGAATAGTTGCGAACTTACTTGGTTTCGCGCGAGCGAGGAGAGGAGAGGGAGAGGGAGAGGGAGAGGGAAAGGGAGAGGGAAAGGGAAAGGGATATTGTGACGGATGATGATATCGATAAGGGAAATAGTTCACCTAAGTTCCAGTACGGTGGCGCGCGCTGCCACTGGTGAAGGGAATAGATGAGCTTTTCTTATCGAGCCCAACCTGTTTTTGTTTCTTTCTGCGGATTAGCCTCGTTTTTGACTCTAGGTATAAATATCAAGATTGTAGCTTGTGGGTGGACCGTCCGGTCGGGCTGGTTGGACCCAAATCTGGTATTCTAACTGGGGTAGGATCACCATAACTAAATTATAAGATTGTCAAACCAGTTTAAACGGTTAAGTCGGTTTATTAAACGATACTGGCAATCCCCTTATAACCTACATTCATATTTAAATTAAATATCATATTTACAAATAAAATGACAAATCATCATATATTTAAAACAGTATCTAATTTCAACATCCAAACTTTTATAATTAAATCTGACGAACAAGATCAACATTTAAATGTTCATACTTGAATCCAACAAATTCCTCCTTTTTTTGTGCTAATAATTTCATCAAAATGACGTCATTTGTTTAGTGATCGAAACTTTATAATTTCGATTTGACTATTGAATTCCTGATTTTGGACTACTTTTGTCGTTTTGTAGCAATTTTGAGTTTTGACTACCACTTTATATTGATGGTCTTCCGGCCAATTTTTGTTCAATATCGGTTAACCTGATTGTGTCAGCTCGCATACCAGTATTTGACAACCATGATAAATTATACTATTTTGATGCTTTATTCTTTTCATGATTTACATACTTTTTACACATTTTTAGCTATTTTAATACCGAGATGATGATATTGTTTCAATGTGCGTTTAATAGCTCTTAGAAGTATTTTCTCACATTTGATGACTTTTGGGTTCAAGACGTGCAGGGCCATAGATGCACTAGCTGTTAGAGAATAACAATCAATGAAAAGATCACGCGTGCTACATTGTTTGTTGTAGAGTTCAAGACTATATATGGGTCACTCTTTATGAAATTGGAAGTGTAACCACTACGACCTACGCTAATGTTCAAATTGAAAGATATCTTAGTTTATGGCAATCTTATTCGAATGTTGATGCTTAGATATAGTTTCAAAACTATTCAATTAAGGGGGATTACTTGGATCAGTTGGATGGTTAGTTTTGAAACGCTATAAATGAAATTTCATATCAATTATATGATGTCCTTTTCTTAAACGAAAATGGGAAAATAAAAGGATAATTAATGCAAAATAATTATTGCGCTAATTAAGGAAGAATTATCTTCCTAAATCGCGTTTGATTCCTTGTTCCCAATGAGTGAGGGAAAACTCATGGTCTTCTGCTCCTTAAATAGCATATTTTTAGGCTCGTTAGATAATTATATTGAGAGAGCAAATGCACGAGAGAGTGAGATTCATAGACCTTTGGGTTAGCACAAATTGAGAGTAGACAAAGAGTGGTTATTTTATCCCGGAGACAACCGACTAATAGTATGATGTCCGCGTAACGAGGCAGTGCCACGAAGCGAGGGTAGCCTAATGATTGGACCCAAAGAAGGATATTTAGGCCCAATGGGCTTCAGCAGTAACCTTGCGCTACGACTTGCCCCAGTGGTTGGATGAATGGACTGAGCAGAAGGGGGAAAAACAGAAAACTACATAAAGGGAAAAAAGGACTTTGTGCCGCTCAGGGTCGATTCTCGTTTCTTGTTCTTCATAAGCTGAAGAATCTTTGCCATTCTAGGTTGGATTAAAGATTTGATTGAAGCAGTCGGGTCTTGTATCTGTTGAAAGAAGTAGCGAGAAATTAGGGATGTCAGCTAGGTTGCTGAAGAAAGTCCTGAAAGAGAAAGAACTAGTCCAGTTTCAGCAACCCGTGGAGGAAGACGACGAAGAAGGCGATGGCGGCTCCCCTGATTCAGGCAGCGTTCCTGCAACCAATCCATTTGACCTTCTTAACGATGGCCAGGATGACTCCGACCAGGTTTTTAATTTGGCCCCCAATTCCTTTTCTCTCCTCCTATGCGCTTAGCTTAGTCTGCTGTTTCTCATTTCCCTTTTTTCTCCTGTGGTTTATAATCATGCGAGGAAAATCGTTTGTGTTAGCTGAAATTTTCCCGTCTGCGTCGTGCCCTAGGAATTTTCCGAGTCCGGAATTGCCAACGTGGTGGTTTTGTTTGTATTGATTGCAAATTCGATGGCGATGGTTTTAAGGGTTTTGAGCTGCAGATAGTTGATTGATTTGTCTGGTTAATTTTTACCCGTAGGAGAATGAGCCTGAAGCTATTGATGAAACCTCGAAAGGGGACAGTAATGAGAAACAAGCGCTCGTGAAAAGTGTGAGCGGTGCACCAGGTTCTTCCACTTCCAGTTCCAAATCAAAGAAGAAGAAGAAGAAGAAAAGTAAGGCGGTTTCAACATCTAATGCAAACAAAGTTGATGAAAGGTTGGATGAGGAATTGGAGATGCTGTCCTTGGGTGCTAAAACTTCTGGCCTCCGAGCTGGTGCTGTTGAAAACAAAGTAGCGAATTCAAAGACTCGCAAAGAATTCGTTAGACCGGCTCAGGTGTCGTCCATCTTACGAGTGGATCCTAAACATTTAAATCCAGAGAATGAGCTCCGGAGAATATTCGGGTCCAAGGTGGTTAAATCAATTGAGAAGGACAGTCAAGCAAGCAGTTCAAGACAGGTTCGTGGAGGAAGACGTGGTAACCATCACACAAGAAAGACCATCCTAGTCTCACCCTCTGAGCATTGGCATAGGTGGGACGGTTCCTTGACCATGGAGTTTCTTGAGACTAAGGAAGGTCTTAATTACTTCAGGTAAAATAGACTTTACAAGTGATCTTTTGCGGGTGGCTGTGAACCATAAGGGATGCATATTTTGTGTTGTCAATGTATTCACCCATCATGATCATCTGTGCATACCTTTTCGCATTGAATTTGAAATAGACGGCCTTTATGCAATTAGTTCCACATCATTCTGATTGCCTGTGGTGTAGAGTTTAGGTATACCGTTTCGTACGCAGATGTTAGCTGGAATGGCATGATACTATGTTGTAGCATACATGTATACTGTAGTTACTTAATACTTACCTTGATATGTGAACCATTAAAATTATGCATAGGGTTTAAATGTTATATATCTTAAGGTTGTTCTATTTGGAAATTCTAATGCACTTGCTGGGGAGTTTAGGTGTGTAAAGAAGGAAGAGTTGTTCAGATGTTATTTAGGTTGGTCACTGGTGTAGACATGATATTTTACTTTCAAGGCTTCTGGATTCGTTTTGTTTATTGGGTAAAATTCTCTACTACTTTTTTGGTGCTTGGGGAAAAATCTCTTTATTTGGGTGAATGGTAATTAGTTGTTGCTACTGGGCATGTGCTGCTTCCCCTACCTTTTGCATTCCCAGAAAGCCCAAAACTACTTAATTGTCAGTTTTATATGATGCACATGCTTGATGTGGACTTGGATTTCAGATTGTGGTGTTGATGTTACTATTCTCATACCTTATTCTGGGTTCCATGTTCATGTAGGTACACATACTCACCTTCCTATAGCCAAGCACAACGAGCATTTGAAGCTGCTAAAGCTATTCATGATCTTAATGGCATAGCAAGCATTCTGTTACATCACCCTTATCACCTAGATTCACTTGTGACGATGGCAGACTATTTCAAATTTGTGGGTGAGCATCAAATGTCAGCTGATGCAATTGGAAAGTGTCTGTATGCCTTCGAATGTGCCTGGCATCCCATGTTCACTCCATTACAAGGAAATTGCCAGTTGAAGATAAGCCATGAGGCCAACAAGCCAATATTTACCACCCTTTTCTCTCACATGAGGAACCTGGACAGGAGAGGTTGTCATCGATCTGCCCTTGAGGTTTGCAAGTTGTTGCTTGCACTGGATTCTGATGATCCAACTGGAGCCATGTTCTGCATCGACTACTTTGCTTTGAGGGCTAAGGAGTATGCATGGTTGGAGCAGTTTGCTGAAGATTACAGAGGCGATAATTCCTTGTGGTTGTTTCCAAACTTCTCCTATTCTCTTGCTATTTGTCGGCTCTATTTAGAGCAAGAAGAGGAATCCTCCAAGGAAAGTTCTGCAAGTGCCACAAAAGCTAGTTCAAGTGATCTGATGAAGCAGGCACTAATGCTTCACCCTTCAGTGCTTAGAAAACTAGTTGCCAAAGTGCCTTTGAAGGATCGCTCGTGGACAGATATATTAAAGCATGCCTTTTTCAAATCAGAGAAAGCGGGATCTCCTTCCTTGGATCATCTAATCAATTTGTATGTGGAGAGAAGTTATCTCATATGGAGGCTTCCAGATATCCAAAAGTTGCTCAAGGACACAGCTATGCAAGTGATGGAAACTCTACACCATAATAGCAGCGAAGCCGAAGATTGGGCTTGTGTGAGAAAACAAGTTTTCTCCTCTGATAAAAACGAGTAAGTTTATTTTGAATTGATTGGGTGTGTTTGTTTGGTTGAGCTTTTGCAATAGAATACTGGCTGTTTTAGTAAAAGTGAAGAAAATTTGTTTGGTCGGTTGGTTTGGTTTGCGTAAAAGTTGTGAGTTGATGGGATACTAAGTATTATAGGTATTAACTCTGAGAATAGATTGTTCTTTCAAATGGACAAAGTTATGAATGAAAATGTGTTAGCAAGACGCCTTTTAGGATAATTTGTAGTTTATGACGGATTGAACAAGTTTATTTCTGTTAAGCTTCGAACCCAACTTTCCTTTGAATGCTTTTTCTGTCAATGCCATTATTCGTTGTGTGTTGCATTCATTACGTGGTAACTTCTGCAACAATTCTGAATGATAAAGCAATTTCTTGTATACTGCCTGTCAACTCTAGCGTACTTAGGTTCACCTTTTACCTGCCTGCCTCGTTGTCACGATTTTTGCCACGTTCGATAACTCAAATTTTTGATAATTTTTTGTGTTTTCTTGACCATAGGTATGACTACCTAATGGTTTCAGATTTCTCAGACATGGTGGCAACTCTTCCTCCTGAGAACTTGCAAGAGTTCATGGTGGACCCGAGGATGGCACAACCTGAAGTACAGAATGGCAACCCGTTAGGCAATCAAGTTGCTGACGGCCATCCTCCTGCTCCACGGGACGTAGCAAACAGGAATGCTCTAGCTGTCCTGGTTGAGTCGATACTGCCATGGGCTTACTACGGAGACCCAGAAAACGATGAGAACAACCAGGTTGAGCCAGACAACGAAGATTGAGGTCGGATTTAGAAGCAAGTCATTCCCAGAATCTTAATGATCAGAAGAAAGTAAATTTTTCGGGAGATGAAGTGAATGTATCAGATTAGTAGAAATGAGTAAAATTTCTAGACAGACATATACAGAGACTGGAGCTTCTTTCCAAGAAAATTAGAGGGTTCATGTGTTTTGTTCCTCGGGAGACAACACTTTGCGACTTATGTTTTCATATATTTGGAAAGTGATTTCCAGTCATGACGTTACATTTTCATTACAATGACATATATATGAACCTTATGCTGAAACAGAAGAAAGAGCAAACAAAATTGCTGGTTTCCTGATAAGCAAGGGAAGTACGGTGCAGCAGGCCAAAACCAGAGCTGCGATCAATGATCGGTTTTTAGTTTAGTCACAGAAAGGAACTTAGCTCGTTACTGAACCTTCCATATAAGCCGTCATCCTCCACAGACTTCTGGATCAATGTATTAGCTAAGTTGCTTGGGCATATGTCCCTCCAGAAACTGTATATCGATTACATCGATTAAATTACGTGTAGACTCTGAGGGATGTCGTCCATGTTCATCTTCATCAACCTGTTTAGAATCACAGCTCTTAACTGCGGAATGTCGAAGCAAGCATGTGACCGAATGATCTGGTGAACTAGCCTAAGGTCACCTTTTCTTGCATATTGTCATGCCATCGCCAATTGGTACCTGGAACAAGTGCGAAGAAAGCAGCGTCGTCGGAAGGCATGTCCGGTAGTAGTTCAGCTATGCATTATAGAGCTTTTTTACATCGAAGTAACCTACGAAGAAGCTCTTTACATCGAAGTACTTTCTCTTAGTTGTGGCGTATGAATCGAAGAGAAAGAATATGAAAGCAGACAATGAACGTACCATGCTGATGCTTACTCGCTCATCCTCCATAATCCTTCGGTTGAAGTTTCTGATGCTCTCAGTCTTGGCATCACTAACCTGCCAGGAATGATAAAGTCACAATCAGTGTATTGCAACAAAACACAAAGAACTTTGGAAAGAGGGAATATGACGATGATTCGCAGGCCAGCAGCAGCAACAAGATGTTACCAAGGGATCAGCAACTTTTCCATGCCAAAGGACATTGTCAATCACAATGACACCATCAACCCTTACCTACAAGAAAAGAACTCTTAAGCGCCAAAGATGCCTGGAAGCGACGTGCCAATCAATTCTAACAAGCTCGAAAGGAGGCAAATGTCGTCTCACCAGTTGTAGCAGCAGTTCAAAATACTCGTGGTTCATTCTCTTCTCCGCGTCAATGAATGCAAAATCATAACTGGGCGAAACGAAACTGAATCAGCCAGCCATTGATTCATCACCAAGGCAACTGAAACAAATACATGGAATAGATGTCGTTAGGGATTACCAGCCGGCTTCGCCATTGAGAATCAGAGACCTCAGAATATCTGCTGCCATTCCATGCTTCACAATCACCTGATCCCACCAACAAGTTCACCTCTTTGAAATAGAAAATGGTAATCTTGAAATCCGCCATTGAAATGTGTTTTCATCATCACTAACCTTGTGGGCGACGCCAGCCTTTTCATAGAACCTTTTAGCAACCTCAAGAGATTTTGAATCCCTTTCACAGGCAACCAAACAGCCTGATTCAGGTAACACCAGAGCAACAGCCAGCGATGAATATCCCTGAGACAGTGAAGTTACGCCAATTTGAAATCTCGATGAGCCCTAATTTCGTAGCAGGTTTTGGCGAATTGACTTAAGAGTTTCTCCTTACAGTGTAGACGCCTACTTCAATGCATCTTTGGGCGCCAATCAGCTGAACCAGCATCGCCAGCAGCTGCGCCTGATCGGGAGATACCTGCATCTGACTCCCTCGCATGGCGGCTGTCTCTTCACGAAGTTGCCGCATGATCTGAGATTCACCGCCGAAAAGCCGTCAGCCAAGCCAAGCTAAAATCGAGGGCTGATTTCAGAAAGAGGGAAATGGGGGAGAATTCAAGAGAGCTCACCTCCGGTTCCCGGACGTTGGAGAGGATGTAATCGTAGAGGCGAGCAGTGAGGCTGATGATCTGTTTGCTGCCGTACTTGTCGTCCTTCGCGACTACAACCGCCGCGCTGTTGCTGCCGTCGACGTCGGCGGGATTGTTTCGCAGAGAGGAGCAACAGCGATTTCTGGGCAGGCGAACCGAATTCCAAGTCCTGGAGGAACGGCATCTCCCGCCAGAAATTGCCGGCATCGAGGAGGCCACGCTCCGGTAAGTTATCGCATTCGCGGCCGCTTTGGCCGCCATTTTTTTAACGGCGTACAGATTTCCGGCTACACCGGGTGGCGGGTGGAGTCTGGATAGAAGATTATCAAGATGACGGACGGCTCGGGTCGAGCCGGTGCCTCTTTTTTTTTACCAAAAATAATACGTTTGAGAGTAAGGTAATTATAACCAAAAATGATAGTTGAACACTTGAACTAGAGAATTTTGTACCACTAAATGAGCCGTTTTATTGAAGCATCGAGGCGTAAAAGTATTCATGAGAAGAGTAAAGCTAGACATCAAGAGGCGAATTTCTTTTATAGATACCTACATCACGTTTTTCTAGACCATAACTCGCTTCATCAACGATTGCGAATAATCACAAAAATTCATGATAAAAAATGGATCATTTATACCTATGTAAAACTTTCATAAAGCGACGAAGTTGTTTATCCTTACCAATGTCCCCAACCCCATTAAAAAGAATAGAGACTCTTGGTACCTTTGATAGTTAACAAACCCTTCAAAATGAACAAACACTAGAGTAACCAACTCATTGAGTTGACAATTTCACTTCAAAATATGAAAATCCAATACTAGTGTCCAACTAATTCAAATAGTACGAGTCAATTTAAAAAAGAACCCAAAAGTAAATCCGTGCGTGTTTGGTCTAAAGCGGACAATATTATACTAATTAAGCTATTCGATTTCTACGATTGGTATAAGAGTATGATTTCGGAGTTTGGATTTAGGGTGGTGGACGTCATTTTTGTGAACCCTCATTTGATGACTTCTTCAGGATTTGAGAACTGCATTTTGTCTGGTGGATCAAAGGAAATCTTCGTCTTGTAATCTATCTAGCAGGTCAAAGGTGATCAACATCTGGTAAATTCAAAGGTGATCAACATCGCGAAATTCTAATTTAACTTAGAATCTAAATTTGGAACCCTAATCGATTATAAAACTACATTCTACATCCAAAATCCAACCGTCTACAATATGCATTCAAAACCCTAGTCTAACTTAAATTCAAATAATTAGCAGTACTAACCTTATCGCAAGCCAAACGCTCTTGTTATATATTCAAAGGAGTGCATATCAACAGCTAGCTTTACAAGTAACTCATATTCTTCATCGACCAAACTAGGCTACACATCCGATGTTTGACTTGGGGAAGTTTGGGATTAAGCTATGTCGTGTGAAGCAAGCAACTCATTCCAACGTTGTTTAAGTGCCTCATATGCCTCCCTGCAGGGGACAGCCTCAACCTTGTTGCTCGTTCCATCAGGTTGGGAGCCAGGTGATTCCGTGATCAGTCCTAGCCTTAGCAACGTCTTCACTGCTTTCTCCACAGGCATCTCCACCTGCACGTAGGTTCCATCGCCGATTAGTAGTAGTAATAAATCTCAACCAACCCTAACGGCAACTAAAAACGAGTCGATTGTCTCGCCTTACTTTTACTGCGAAAGCATTGTATACGAAACGCTCGCATTCCTCTCCAACACTCCTAATGCAAGTGGCCTGCAGCCAATGATGAGAGCGTATAAGGTTACCGATCTTCTTCCAGTAATAAGGCAGGGCATATGCTAAAATGAACTCGACTAATCGTAGGTAATGGGAAGACCTGGCCACTCTTTGCTTTGAGTAGGATCGCATAGCTTAAAATAGCTTCCTTGTACTGCAAATTAAACAACCATAAATGAGAAGAAGGAAATCGACGCTGAAAACTGGCAGAATCATAGAATCTGGCGAGAATCATCAAGTTGAAGCTCCTTCACTCAAAGAAATGAGGATCCCCAAAACTATGGTTCCTACTAACCTGTTGCTGTTCAGAAGCGTCCAGAAGAAAATGAACCGAGCCAAATCCGCTGGCCAGTGTTTTCTCATAAAGTGTCCTGTTGACAAGTAACTGCCACCAAAGCAATGCAATTCCTCTTAATACATTTGGGGTCAAGCTGCGTTTTAGAGGTATCCATGGACATAGTTGGAAGTAAAGAGAACTGGTAAACATACTTGATACCGGTCCCAGGTTTGTTTGTAACCTAATACCACACGGGACACGGATACTATCAGAGCAGTTATGGCTATAACATCAAGAACAAACGCTGACCTGCAACCCATTATATAAGCTCAGGAAACTGTTCTGGTTCATCCTCAACTAATATTATTTAGAAACACGGTTCGCATTTGCATTTGAAAGTACAGAAGGTAGAACATAAATGTTTAAAGACTAAAACATTTTACAAGTACACTTACGGGGAAGATGATAGGTTCACAAACTTGTAGTTTATGAAGTATGCTGAAAGTCCCAATATTGCCGCGGCATCCAAACGAACCTGTAGTTTAGACACAGTGCATACTTCAACAATTTTCATATCATATCCATTCATAGACCAGTCATGACAAGCTAAAAAGGGCAACTACTATTCATATCCGCTAACAAGTAATCATAAACTCTTTTTTCCTTCTGAAACATAAGAAACTATCGTCAATGAATAAGGACATTAAATCATTAACTCCAAGTAAATACCAAGTGTACCTACCGTGTCTAGTATACGGAAGGAGAGCTTCTTGTGAGGGAAAACAACCTGCAATTACTTTATACACGATGTAAATGTGCAAATCTGCTTGAATCATGGCTTACTCACAAGATAAGCCAAACATATGTCATATCAAAGGGAAACAATACATCGGCGCGCCAGAAGTATTTACGAGTAGGTCAGGAATCGGAATTCTCTCATATATCTTCAATCGCAGTGATGCAACCTCATCCTTGTAAGTAGCATCTCTCCCACTTTCATCCTCAGTATACAGCAATATCAATTCTTCAAACGCAGGCTCCTGATCAGACAAATGGGAAGCTTAACAACTGAAATAGTTGAAGCATAGGATTGGAAATAGTACTGGCTTTATAGTTTATATGCTAAATTCATATGGAAGGAAATGTTAAGTTTAGAGACCCATCCACAACACTCAGAATTGGTTGAAGTGATTACTGAATAAAAAAATGGATAAGAATTGGATACCTGGAGGACTGACTGTGAGAGAAGAATGGAGAAAGCTTTCTTTGACATTTTCCACAGATTGTTTCCGCAGAATTTTCTACTAGCAGGCTTCCATATATCACTAAGTGATATCCTTGACAAGAAGATTGGCCTGAGTCAACAAGCTCCCGTATCACTTGGTAATTCAGGAAATGATGGTATGTCTAAGACATTAGAGCTACAAGAATGGCTAGTTAAAGCTGACATGACCAACTGTTCTGAGATGTCATAACTGTTATACATTCTTGCCCTTCATTATCATGGCAGTTTTCAAGGAACATTTTAATCTAAGATGTTAATCAGAAAAATGTGTTGCAGCTTGATTAGACTAAAACCGATTACAGGTCGAGGTAAGATTCTTCACAGCTAAACAAGATAGTCACAATTGTCAAGGAACCAAAAATTCTTTACCAAATGGAGACTAAAATTATGAAGGATACAACCACATTACAGTACCAAAACTAATGCTACATTCTACTTGAGATCCGGGGACATATTCTCATTCAGTTAATAAATGAATCAGAAAATAATAGCCCATACACACATAGGGTGACTGGTAAGATATAAGAAAGGTTCAAGTGATGTAAACCTTAGATGCGATTCAGAAGCATTGCTTTCACTGCCATGTTCAAATGACATTTCCGGTACTGGAGGTACAAGCCCTGTCCAGGTAAGAAGTCTCCGGAAAAGCCTTTCCCTGGGCCCACTAGGAGATAGAAACCCTTCATAACGACTTACTGCCCTCTGCGCAGCCAGCCAAATTGGAAGATCATTATCTGAAAGTTCATTTGGTCCTTGTGGATCATCAGATGCTTGATATCTGGCGATGATTGAACTCCTTAAAGAAGATAGTTCCTCTACCCAGAGTGTCATTCTCTTAAGCCAATGATGCACCTCTTGAGTTTCAGAAGCATCTGTGACTGCCTACATAAAAGAAAAAGGACACAACCAGCAAACCTCCGGTAAGCTACAACATAACATCTGATACTCGATCCGATTTTCTCGACAGTGAGACCGAGGAGGCGAGGACTACTCTATCCATTTGATTGAATTTTCCAGCACAAGACCACATGCCAGTTACCTGTTTTATCCATTTGCCAACTTTTCCCAAGGGCTTTGAGGCAGTGAAGAAGATCTTTTGAAGAAGTCTGGACTGTATATAATCCAACTTTTCGCCAATCAGCAAACCTTTCTCTCTCTCAGTAGCATAACCCCTCCTGAAATGGAAAGCGCAATGAATACTTACAAGTATAAATACCCTATCAACTCTCGAACTTACCAAGTCTACAGCTAAAGAAATACATTGACAACTCATTACACTTTGAACACCGAATCTTGATTCCTGCCATATAAATGATTCTCTAGCAAAACTATGATGTGGCTACTACATGAGATCTGAACATAAAATATGCTAGCAAATGCGAACCAAGCTTACTAACTCACTAACCGAAGTATTCTTCAGTCCAGGCAACAAGAATTTACCCACACACTGCATCTCAGCCAAAGCCATTTTTTTAATCTATTTTCTAATTCAAGTGGCCCTGATATCAAAATATGAGGCCGGCTGGATATTTCTGTTGTGGCCAATGGCTTGGGGTTAAAAATTACCTGAAAATTATGGCATTGGATTCAGATGCTTTCTTCCAGTCCACATATATTGGTAAAGTGAGGAGGTAATCAGAGTTCAAAGCTGATGTCAAAATCAAATCACTGGCTGATAGTTCCTGAAACTGTGCATTGTCGAGAAGCTGCATGAAAGCGCGCTGGAAACGCGTTGCAACTGCAAGTCTACAAACAAACAATAACAAACAGGTCAAGACCATTTAAAACAGATTGCAGTTGGGATGACAGTTTGCATTCATTGGTCTCATTCCCATCCCTAATACATGATGACTAATGAAAAGAGTAACTCTTGAACATAAAGCTTACAAGACTCACCTAGAACTCCCTGGCTTATATCTCCTTCCATTTCCTTCCGAGTAGCCCAAAAGATTCCTGAAATCCAGACCAGACTTGAAATACTTTGCTTTAGCCTCTTCCCACAACTTCTCATAACTCTCACTTCCATTGATTCCGTCATCAACAACAAAATTAACACCTTCCCCATTAACAGTTTTGAGTTCTTCAGCTCCGCCAGAAGACCCTTCCTCAGCCGTTTCCTCGTTGCTCCCAACGGAATCAAGAACGGAATAGTCGACTCGCATCTCTTCCAAAATGTTCTTGTGTTCAGCATGGAGGATGGAATCCAGGCACCTGCAATTGAATCAAAACATCCACTGCCTTTTCAAAATCACCTCAAGCTTCGGCATATGAGAATGAGTAAAGGAAGTTATTCGGTCACTCACGAAGAGAGGTTGAGAAACTGATCTGCGTCCTCCTTGGAGTCGAAGAACTTGAGAAGAATGGCATCCAATAGCTCGGCCTTCGGAACCGGAATGTACTTCTGCCTCGGCACTCGTATTCTCGAAATCCCTTTCTCATCTTCTTCGTCTCCCTCGTCCTCATCCTCCTGCTTCTGCTTCTGCGGCTGCTCCTCCTCCTCCTCTCCTTCTTCTTCTCGAATCCTCGGAAGCAAACTTCTGAAACTGTCTCCCGTAGTCAACGCCAACGTGCTATTGACGACTCGTCTAGTCCCATCTTCCATTGATAACTCCTCCACTTTCGAAGAACAACGGAGGAGGAGTGGGAGCGGCGCAGCGGTTGTGTTGAATTCTCGAGAGTGAGGGACGAAGGAGGAAGTAGCCCGCCATGGATGTGGGAACGATGCGGCAGTCAGAGCGCCGGGATTTCTCAGCGGGAACATGTGGAATTAGGATTCCCGGCCTCGAGCTTCGGCGGGGGGAGATTCTGCGCGGCTGAGTGCGACTCACATCGCTGAGAGCACAAGCGAAAGCCGGCGTCGGGAATTCAAAATTGAATGGGAAGGACGCTGTTGATTGAAGGAGAAATGGCGGCGACGATGGCAAGTAACGGAAACCCCAGAAAAGGCGAGGGAGAAGTGGTGGTGGCACCCGCGACACGTGTGTGAGTCAGTGACCGATCGCGGGCTCTTGGATAAGAGTTAAAAGCATGGTCCATTAAACCGTACCGTACCGACGGTTCAACCATAAAATATCAGTATCGGAGGCTAAACCGATAGGCGGTATTTAACGGTACTAACGGTTGAACTACGGTTAAACCACGGTTTTATCATAAAATACCCTATCGCTGACTTTTCCGATACGGTTTCCGGTACGGTTTCATGGACCATGGTTAAAAGCAAACTTTAGACTTTATGGTTTAGACTAAGGTTGTATCGTTGTGTCACGTGTGCCGGTATAGCAAATATGATATATTTTAGTTTTTTTTTTCTTAATGGTAAAACTTGAAGTTGTATCTTTATCGTTATGATACAATTTTAGGATGTATAAAAACTTTTTTTATAAATCTTTTTATGGTACAATTAAAATTGTACATTTATGTTATGGTGCAATTTGAAGTTGTACAATAAAATAAAGGTACACGTTCTCTTATAGTACAAATTCAATTTGTACTTTTCAAGTCATGGTACAACTTAAAGTTATACTTTAAAACACGTTATGGTACAACTTCAAGTCATACATTATCTATTACTGTGCACATTGATACAACGCAAAAAACACAAATAAAAGAAAATTGGATAAAAGAAACTGAAACATTACATGAAGAGTAAGATAGCTCCATAAATATATCAATAACAACTTTTTCAAAATTATCCACCTTGGCAACTTGTAAACTCTCCAAGTGTTTTATGTGGCAAACAATTACTTTTGAATTGCCATAATATTATGTATAAAATCATAACCACTTGTTGAAATTAATTGATGTGATATTATGTTATTTTTAGTGATAGAAATCTTCATTCTAAGATTTTATAAGAAAATTTTCGGGTAAATGACACATTTGGTCACTGAGATTATTAAATTGTGTCATGTTTAGTCACTAGAAAAAATTAATATCAATTTTGGTCACTCGAATTATCGAAACTGGTCAAATTTAGTCACTCTCCCGTCAGTTTCCGTCCAACTCCATTAATGTAGTTGGACGGAAACTTTTGGGAGAGTGACTAAATGTGACATGTTTCAGTAATACGAGTGACTAAATGTGACATTTTTCAATAATTCGAGTGACCAGAGTTGGACAGAGGCTACAGAAGAGTGACCAAATGTGACCTGTGTCAGCAATTCGAGTGACCAAAATTGATATTAAATTTTTCTAATGACTAAATATGACACGATTTAGTAATCGTGTGACCAAATGTGTCATTTACCCGAAAATTTTCGAACCAAACACCGAGCAGTTCGTTTGCAATTTGACTCGCTAACATCTCTACGACGAAAGTGGTTAAACAAAGCAAGTGGCAAGTAAACGGGCGGTTTTGGTCATTGGAGGGTCGTCGGTCAGTGCCGTGACCGCTGCAGCAAGCCAGCAAACCAACTGCTTGCTCGCCAACAATAGCTTTTAGCAAGCAACTGATCTGCTGGCTCACTTCCCAATTCCAACTTGCTTTTATTTATTAGTATTATCTGTTATAGCTTATTAGTATCGTATCCACAAGCAAAGCTCACATTTTCTCCATCAGCTGCTGCCCGCTCTCAACCTCACTGCTACTTCGATGGCGTCGAAGCTCTGCCTCGCCGTCGCCGTCCTTTTCCTTTCAGTCGCCGCCTTCCATTTGCAGGTCCGGTTTGTGGAAACTATCTTCAATACCTTTCTTGCTATATCTCTCCAACTTTCCTGGTTGGGATCGGTTTTATGATTTTTTTTTAGTGATAGTTTTCGAGATCGAACTTACTGGATGCGGGGTCAACTTCCAGAATGATAAAGTTGAACTCTTTTGTTGTTTCCTTGTATCTGCAACCTTCCCTTCTTGTGAATTGTTGCAAGGATTGAAGATGGATAAGACCTGCTAATTATTGAACTTATGGGTGTTCTGCTATTCCCTTTTCTGTGGGTTTGTGTCAAAGTCCTATTTCCATATATTTTACCGTTCCGCAGGTCTCAGCAATAGATTCCAAGCTCAAGCTGGGTTCAAGGATCCTTAAGGTATCTCATCTCATCGCTTACCATTCTCGTCAAACAAGTTGTTGGGATGGGTGGTCTATTGGGTTGTTTCTGGTGTGTTGATTCCGTGATTATATGGTGAATATTCGCAGGAGTCAATTGTTGATGTAGTCAATGGAAATCCCAGTGCTGGATGGAAAGCTGAAATGAGCCCCCGCTTCTCTAATTACACGGTCAGTCTTTTCGATTTGCAGTTCGCCCTCCATGGTGAAGCTGAGATGACTTGCTTGCGTTTTCATTTGCGATCCATATTTTACTCTGACTGCTGCTTGTTCCCTTTTATTTGTGTCTAATCTATAGGTTGCTCAGTTCAAGTACCTTCTGGGAGTCAAACAAACACCCAAGAAGGAACTCCTGGGAGTTCCAGTCATGAGACATCCGAAGTCCAAGGCGCTGCCAATGGAATTCGATGCTAGAATAGCTTGGCCTCAATGTGCCACTCTTCATAGAATTCTAGGCTAGTTGCTTTCTTGTTCCTTCTCCTTGTTTATCTCTCCTCTTTTGTATGAAGCTGACATTTGATGCTGTGTTCCATGTTTGTATCCCTTAATGGGTCAATTTCACATTGAAGATCAGGTGAAACATCTTATCTTAACATCTCCTCTTTTCTCAGTTCAGTGAACCTCTTTGCTTCAAGTTTCTCATGGTATTTGGTTGTTGATAATCCAGGGTCACTGTGGATCTTGCTGGGCATTCGGTGCTGTTGAAGCATTATCCGACCGGTTTTGCATTAATTTTGGCATGGTAATCATGGCTTTAATTGCTGGTAGTAGTTTCATTTCGCAATGCCTAGTAGTCTCATCCTCAGCAAACTTGTGCTTATGTTTATTGCAGAACATATCCTTGTCTGCCAATGATCTCTTAGCCTGCTGTGGCTTCAGATGCGGCGACGGTTGTGATGGAGGGTATCCTATTGATGCCTGGAAGTACTTTGTCCAGAATGGTGTAGTAACCGAAGAGGTACCGTTACTTGTTAACTTTGAGATGGATGCTCTCTTCCTTTAATATGTCTGGTCATATGTGATCTCGTCGAGCTTTTTCAAATTTGCTTGACGTGTTAAAAAAAAAAAAAAAAACACTCTTGTCTACCCAGTGTGATCCCTACTTTGATGACATTGGCTGCTCCCACCCTGGATGTGAGCCAGTCTACCCAACTCCAAAGTGTTCGAGGAAGTGTGTTGACAAAAACCAGCTGTGGAAGGAGGACAAGCACTTCGGAGTAAATGCTTATAGGGTCGACTCTTCTGATGTCTCTAACATCATGACTGAAGTTTCTCAGAATGGTCCAGTTGAGGTTGCATTCACAGTTTATGAGGTAAAATATTGCACCTTTACCTTCTAACGATTAGCTGTTTGTTGTAATTTACTTATTTATGTTGAGCATATAACCATATAGTACTGGAACTTTTAATTTACATCCTATTTTTAGTGCTTCCATTTTCCTTTATATAATACATTAAAAGCATATAACGATTAGCTGTTTGCTGTTTGTTGTAATTTACTTATTTATGTTGAGCAAATAACGTTTTGTGTGGTTATTAGTATTACAAATAAATAATATATTTTCCTTTATATAATACATTAAAAGCATTTGTTTACCAAATTGCAGGACTTTGCTTACTATAAATCAGGAGTTTACAAGCACATAACCGGTGGTGTTATGGGAGGCCATGCTGTTAAGCTTATCGGATGGGGAACTTCTGAAGATGGGGAAGATTACTGGGTTAGTGATTTTTAATCAACACACATTTGTCGATTTAAATGTCTAAATTGGTCACTAAATTATGTCATTTGTGACGAAACGAGAACTATTTGTTCGATTTCGTTCCATCTTGTTAGAGCTCTTTCGTTTCGCTGGCATTATGTTCATTTTTGACAAAACGATCTATTAATGCTCTCACCTTGCTCTCTGCAGCTGCTTGCCAATCAGTGGAACAGGAGCTGGGGTGAAGTAAGTTGCAGTTCTTGGTATATCTGTTCTTTGATTTTGAGTTCCTTGTGCTCCACTTGTTGATAAACAACTTTTTTTTGGTTTGTTTCTTTCCTAATGGCAGAATGGATACTTCAAGATTAGGAAAGGAACAAATGAGTGTGGGATTGAAGAGGATGTGGTGGCTGGGCTGCCTTCTACCAAGAATCTGGTTAATTATATTGTTAGCAGCAGCAGCTCTGATGCTGCTGATAATGGAGATGTGGCCGCAGCTTGATACATTTAGACGAGGATATTTTACTTGGAACAGATGGATATTATGATTATTGGCAGCTGATAATCGATGATGTAGTTCCTTCGGGGACATCCGATAAAATCGGAACGATCCGATAATTGATGATGTATGTATCCACAGCCATGGCGTGGATAAAGATACCCGTGTAATGCATAATGAAGGGAGCCTGCCTTAATCCTTTCTGATAGTTTGCTTCCCGGGTCCAAAACAAGAAATGTCATGAGATGAAATGGAAATAGTAATCAAAATGAAATGTTGTAATGCCTTAATCCTGCCCTGCAAGTAGAGGTGTGCAACGGTTCGATCCAGTCTGAACCGGTTCGAAGCAAATTCAATAATTCATGATAATCGTGGTCCATCAATAAAAGATATTTTAGGACCATGGATCAGATTATCGTTGCATGCAGTCTATATGGTTCGGTTTGGTCCGGTCCAAATATCCATTCGGTCCACATTTTCTTTCGTAATTACAAGATTCATAGGACCCAACGACCGCACCGCATTTTACTAGGTTCGATACAGTCTGTTTCACAATACCGATTTGATCCGATACGATCTGGTACGGTCCGGTTCATTGCACCCCCCCCTACACCCAACCACAAGGCTGCAACCAAAGAACCACCATGCCCATTCTGGAAAGCAAAGCACAAGTAGCCCAGTCAAAGAAACACATCAAGCCCGCTAGGAGCCAGATCACTCTGCTGGACTGAAACTGCAGCCCCATTATCGGGCCCAACAGACCGGGCCTAAACTTGTTTACCATAACATTCTTAACTAGAGTTGTGCCCGGCCTATTGGCCGGGATGTATTTCATTTGAATCATCTATAATATAAGTATGAATTTTAATTCAATTTCAAATGAAATGTACATATTTTAGATATGTTGCTATTTTTTATAGTTAAGATATTTTACCATTGGTACGCTTATCTAAAGGAAAAGGATTTTGCTATATCGGATTTCCATTGCGGAGAGTTTTTTTTTTCTTTATTTTTTTTTCCGGAGTGATGGGTGGAGAGTTTTTTGGTAGAATTAAAAGTATATCCAACTTTAGAAATATATATATCCCGTTTTTAATAAAAACAAAACACGTCTAGGGAAAAAAATGGATAACCACCGCTACTTGCAGCCGAGTTAAAAATTAAAAAAATACATAGAACTCCGAGAGTTGCGGGCTGGGCTTCAAGGAGTACGTGGCATAGGCGCTTTTCTAAAAGCGCTTTATAATATTTTAAGATTATTATTATAAAATAAAATTTATTAGGATTGGTCTCATTTACCTTCATCGCTTTTTCGCTCCCGGTCCCTCTTTTTTTCCCCCTGTGAAAGTGGCGTAAAACCCTAAGAGCCAAAACCACCGTCTCTCTTCCAAACTCCGAACCAGAGCGCTCTTCTTCTTCTTCTTCCTCTCAGTCTTCCTTTTTCCTTGCAGATCCCTTACTGCTTCCACGGTAATTTCAATGAGGCTCGCGCTTTACAGAGCCCATAGGCGGCCGCTCATCAACCCTTCTCTTCTCCAATTCCTCTCTCCCTTATCCTCCTCTTCTTCTTCTCTCTCGTCCACAACTCTTCTCGACGACGGCGGTCCCTTCTCGGTGTCACGCTCTGGACCGGCGAAGGCTCTCGGCGGAGGAATGCGTCGGAGAAGAAGAAAGGGAAAGTAGGTAGAAAGAAGAGAGAGAAAGAAGTGAGAGGGAAAAGTTGTTATTATTATTTTTTCCAAGTGACCGTTAGGTTGTTACAGGTCACATTTATATACATTTGGCAAATGTCTCTTCTGATCCCTCTATTTTCTATTTATCTATTCTAAGTCCCGCGTGTTACAACTCCCTCCTCCTTCAGAACTGACTTGGCCTCAAGTCTGGAACTCAGGGAATTTCTGCTTGATCTCATCCAGATATTCCCAGGTCGCATCTTCCTCTGCTTGATGCGTCCACTGTACCAGTAATTGTGTAGCTGCTGCATTGTTCCTAGCCACAACTCTTCGAGCAAGGATCAAGGCTGGTTCCACCTTCAAACTGCCATGATCATCCAGCTCAGGCAAAACAGCCTGTGTGTGATACTGGTGGCCACGAGCACGCTTCAGGAGAGACACATGAAATACAGGGTGTATAGCAGACCCTTGTGGAAGTTTCAAACGATAAGCCACACTTCCAACCTTCTTTTCAATCTCAAAAGGCCCATAAAACTTTGGAGAAAGCTTCTGATTCAACCTGGTCACCACAGAAGACTGTCTGTAAGGTCTGAGCTTCAAATACACCCTCTCCCCCTCTTGAAATGAACGTTCAGTGCGATGAGCATCAGCCATCTGCTTCTGGCGATTCTGAGCCTTAGCCAAGTTAGCCCTTAAGACCCCAATAAGCCTGTGCTGCTGCTGAAGCCTGTCAGACACAGCTGCTACAGCAGTGGAAAGAGGATTGGTGAGAGAGAACTGGGAAGGAGCATAGCCATATAAGGCTTCAAAGGGAGTACCCTGCAAACTGGAGTGGTAATTGGTATTATACCACCACTCAGCCAAGGTCAACCAGCCAGCCCACTGCTGAGGGTTATGATGCACCATTCCACGCAAATATTCCTCCAGACAACGATTCACCCTCTCAGTTTGGCCATCTGATTGAGGGTGATAAGCAGTGGAGTAATGTAACCTGACCCCTTGCAACTGAAACAAGGTAGACCAGAAAGTGCTGGTGAACAGAGAATCCCTATCAGACACAATCGTCTGAGGTAGTCCATGAAGCTTGAAAATACCATCAAAAAAGACTTGGGCTACTGAAACAGCAGTGTAGGGTTTGGCTAAACTGAAGAAGTGACTGTACTTGGAAAACCTGTCAACCACCACAAACACAACCTCCTTACCTTGTGACTTAGGTAAGCCCTCAATAAAGTCCATGGAGATGTGTTTCCAAGCCTGATCTGGAATAGGTAAGGGCTGCAGCAAACCAGGGTAAGGCACATTCTCAGTTTTACACCTCTGACATATATCACATGATTGAACATATTCTTGCAACTCCTTCTTCAATCCAGGCCACCAAAAGTACCTCTTCAACCTCTGGTAATTAGCCTGCAACCCAGAATGTCCCCCTACTGGTGAATCATGGAACAGCTGCATGAGTTGCTTCCTCATGCTTCCTCCTGATCCCACATATAAAGCAGCCTTATGATACAACAGGCCCTGCTTAACTGAGTACAATTTAGGACCTACCATGGGAACTGAAGCCTCCATCATTAATGCCTGCACCACAGAATCTCCCTCATAGGTAGTCTCAATCTCAGCAAGCCAAGCTGGTAGAGTAGCTGAGATGGCCTGGCAAGACCCCTGATCAGCAAAGTTGGGATGCCTAGATAGGGCATCTGCTACTTTATTAAGCCTCCCTTGCCTGTACTGGATCTCAAAGTCCAAACCCAGCAGCTTCACTAATCCCTTCTTCTGTATCTGAGTATGGATCTTCTGGCCTAACAAGTGTTTTAAGCTCTCATGATCAGTGATAATGATAAACCTGTTCCCTTCCAGATAATGCCTCCATTTGGTCACAGCAATGAGGACTGCATGGTACTCCTTCTCATATGTGGAAAGGCCTTGTTTCCTTGGTCCCAAAGCCTGGCTGTGGTATGCCAGTGGTCTTCCTCCCTGAGAAAGCACAGCTCCAATGCCAATATCACTGGCATCTGTCTCCAGTACAAAAGGTTGACTGAAATCTGGAAGAGCCAGTACTGGAGCCTGCACCATAGCTGCCTTCAATACTTCAAAAGCCCCCTGAGCTGCTGCAGACCATTTGAAGCAGTCCCTCCTCAACAAATCTGTTAGAGGCTTGGCCAGAATGCTATAATTCCTCACAAACTTCCTATAGTACCCTGTAAGACCCAAAAATCCTCTTAATGCTTTGAGATTCTTAGGAACTGGCCAGGACACCATAGCTTCCACCTTGCCAGGATCAGTAGACACTCCCTCCTGGTTGATGATGTGACCCAGGTAATCCACTTGGGTTTGACCAAATGAACATTTTGAAGGTTTAGCATACAAGGTATGGGACCTGAGGATTCCCAATGTGATAGTCAGGTGATCCTTATGACTAGCTTGGTCAGGGCTATACACCAAGATGTCATCAAAGAAAACCAGGATGAACTTCCTCAGATGTGGAGCAAAAATCTGATTCATAAGGGCCTGGAAGGTGGCTGGGGCATTTGTCAACCCAAAGGGCATTACCCTGAACTCATAGTGGCCCTGATGAGTTCTAAATGCTGTCTTGTGCTGATCTTGAGGATGCATCCTGATCTGATGGTAGCCTGACAGTAAATCCAGTTTAGTGAAGAACTTGGACCCCCTCAATTCATCCAGCAGATCATCAATGACTGGAATTGGAAATTTATCCTTGATGGTAAGAGAGTTCAACTGCCTATAATCCACACAGAACCTCCATGATCCATCCTTCTTGAGTACCAACAGTACAGGTGATGCATAAGGACTTCTACTGTCTTGAATGTACTGGGAATTCATCATCTCCTTCACCAATCTATCCATTTCATTTTTCTGAGGAATTGAGTAACGATATGGTCTAAGGTTCACAGGCTGAGCATTTGGTACAAGAGGGATAGTGTGGTCACAGGATCTAGCTGGTGGTAAGGTCTTAGGCTTCCCAAATACATCCTGAAACTCATTCACCACTGATTCTAAGAACTCAGGAACCTTACCTGCATTAGCAGTCTCCACAGAGATGCTGAACAAATGGCCCACCAGAGTGGCCTTAGTCTTCTTGATCATCCTCTGTAAGGTCTTGCCAGAGATGGCCTTACATTGAGCCATGTCCTGAACTCCTTGTAGGGACACCTCCTGCCCTTCCCAGTCAAAGAACAGCTGCAATTTAATGAAATCAAACTTGACTGGGCTAATAAGTTTCAACCAGTCTAACCCCAGAACTACATCATTCGTGCCCAAGCTCAGGACTCTCATATCAAACATGAATTTGTGACCTTGCATCTCCCAGCTGAAATCCTTACAGATCATCTTACTCAACAAAATAGTCCCATCTGCCAACCTAACTCTCAATGGAGTCTCTGCCTGAACCAACCTGCACTTAAGATCCGTAGCCTTCTTCTCACTCAAGAAGGTATGTGTACTGCCAGTATCAATGAGCACAAATATCCTCTCATTTTTTACCTTGCCTTTAACAATCAATGAATTGGATAGACCCCCACTGCTTAGGGCCTGCATTGACACCTCCACAACATCTGGCTGCTGTTCTTCTGGTAAGGCTTCATCCATGTCCTCCTCGTCCACTACACTCCAGTCCTCTGGTGCCAAGATCTCTCCATCTTCAGCCTGTATCACATTCAGCTGCTTCTTAGTATCACATACATGGCCAAAATAGTACTTGTCTCCACACTTATAACAGGCTCCTTTGGCATAGTTAGGCTTGTTACTGGTCGAAACCTGTGTTTTGCCAATATTAGGGCGACTGCTAGGCCCTTCCCACTTTCTAGCACCAGAGTTAGTACCCTGTCCCACTGGTGGCATTGAACGCATGCCACTGCCCAATCCAAGTCGCCATTTCCGCCTATTAGCTTCATTTGCTGTCTCTGCCAACTGTGCCAATTGAAATGTATGAACGAGAGTTACCGGCTGCCACATCTTGATCACCGGCCTAAGTTCCTCCTCTAATCCACTGACAAAGCTGGAGATGAAATATTGCTCCCCCAAGGCTGGATTATAACGAACCATTTGCGACTTTAACTCCTCGAATTTCTCCTGGTAATCGGCCAATGAACCCCTCTGGCGAAGCTTATTGAACTCCTCCACGATGCTGCCAAATTCCCGATCACCGAACCTGCCACACAAATCCCGCACAAAATCGTCCCAAATCCAATCCCTGTGCTCCAGTTTCCAACCTTCAAACCAAATATCTGGACGGCGATCAAAGTAAATGGAAGCCATTCGCACTTTCTGCTCATCAGGAATTGCGTAAATGTCGAATAACTTCTCACACTTCCTGATCCAATCCCTAGGATTATCTCCCCGAAACTGAGGGAAATCAATGCGAGGCAACTGAATCTGATCATTACCTCGTTGATGACCTAAAACTTGACCTTGCTCTGCATCCGGATGATTCTGAGCAAAGCCTCGCTGCTGTATCGGTGGAATCGCCCCTGGCCGTTGAACAGGCAGAGGTAAGAGACCCCGGCCCTCGTGACGAGCTAATTGCTGTTCGGCAGCAGCCTCCGGCCGAACATGAAGAACCTCCAGTCGACGAATGATCTCCTGGATGTTCTGATCCATTTGAGCAAATCGCGCGACCGAACGATCCTCCATTCCTTCCAGACGAGTGTTAATCACTGCAAATTGTTGTGAGTGACCTTCCGTTCGTGCCATGATTTCCTGCAGTTGAGTCGATTGAGCTCGATTCTGATCCTCCAGCGTCGTGATCTGATTGTGAAACGCAGACTCTGCTTCCATCGTCCTAGTGGAAAACGCGCTCAGGCGATCGTCGAGCTGCCGCACCGTCGTCGCCATGGCCGAGAGATGGCTCTGATACCAACTTGTCACGCTCTGGACCGGCGAAGGCTCTCGGCGGAGGAATGCGTCGGAGAAGAAGAAAGGGAAAGTAGGTAGAAAGAAGAGAGAGAAAGAAGTGAGAGGGAAAAGTTGTTATTATTATTTTTTCCAAGTGACCGTTAGGTTGTTACAGGTCACATTTATATACATTTGGCAAATGTCTCTTCTGATCCCTCTATTTTCTATTTATCTATTCTAAGTCCCGCGTGTTACACTCGGATCCCCAGCCTCCTCCCGAAACCAATCCCTTATCCACCTCATTCCTCAGGGATAGGGCGAGGCTCAAGCACAAAGAAGGGATGTGGCGGTTGCAGAACCCAACCCAGGTCAGATCCAATTCGCCGCCCTCGAGAAACTCCGCCGCGGATCCCTCTCTGAACATCGGTAAGAGACTCCTTGATGAGCGAAGTCCACGGCGTGTGGACCTTTCGAACGAAATCAAGGCCATTATACTCAAGAAGGACCGTGACAAAAAACCAAAGAAGCGGGCGGGGCTAGGTTACAAACCGCCGATAAGTGCAAGCGAGATTGAAAAGTTGCTCCACCCAAGTGAGTGTACTAAAAACTAGTATCGGAAGTTTATAATCTCTTGTAGTAGTTCCATTTCTCTTGGAGTTATTCGAATTGTCGTTGCTGAGTAACATAGTGAAAGAGGAGGCTGTGGTTGCTGAACTCGATGCAGGGTTAGAAGAACTGATGAAAAAGCAGGCTTCAAGTGCTACAGCATCATCGACTGTCGGGACATCAAGAAAAAAGGAGAAGGTTGTGATTGATGAACTTAATGCAGAGTTAGAAGCACAGAAAATGCAGACTTCAAGTGCTACAGCATCGACCGCCTGGATATCTGAGCTGAAGAAATTGCGGCCGGAGCAGAAGCAAGGGCGGTCACCGTTCGAGGAGTTGACGCGGCAGGGTGAGGAGGTAAATTGGCTCCCAATCCCAAGTGAGTGAACTAAAACTAGTCTCGAAAGTTTATAATCTCTTGTAGTTCCATTTCTCTTTGGAGTTATTCGAATCATCGTTGCTGAGTAACATAGGGAAAGAGGAGGCTGTGGTTGCTGAACTCAATGCAGAGTTAGAAGAACTGAAAATGCAGACTTCAAGTGCTACAGCATCGACTGTCGGGACATCAAGAAAAAAGGAGAAGGTTGTGATTGATGAACTTAATGCAGAGTTAGAAGCACAGGAAATGCAGCCTTCAAGTGCTACAGCTTCGACCGCTGGGACATCAGGAAAGAAGAAGAGGAAGAGTGCCCAAGCTGTAGATGATCGGATTGACCTTGTTGTGGGTGAGATGAGCGAGCTTCGCACAGTGATCAAGCATTCAGTGGAAACCATCGCTAGAGCACTTGGTGAGAGCGACGACCTTATCCAGAAGAGAGCCAATCTGCTGAAAACGCTGGAGGAGCTTGAAGGGTTCAGTAGAGCTGAGATTATAACAGCATTGAGGAAGCTGTCTAACAATGACAGGGATTTGATGATCTTCTATGGCTTGGAAGAGAAAGCCGACAAGGTGATATTCGTGGCAGGGCTGCTTCGTTGAAGTAAATCTTGCGGGGAAGTTGTACATCCGTTGGTTTACTTTACTTATGTTGAGCAAAGAACTCTCGGACATGGCTGGCTTTTGTGTTTTGGGATTCTGTGGGAAGTGATATATGTTGGTTTTCTTGTTATCCTATGCTGTTGTTTGGAATCATTTGCCGCCTCTTTCAATTGGCGGGATTTTTATGCTAATCTTTGTGAATCATTTGCCGGTCAGTTAGAGGATTAACCAAAAAATTAACCAATAATCGATTATTCGGTTATCTATTAACCAACTAAACAGAATAGATGATTACGATTATAACTAAACCGAACAGAACCGACCAACAGGTTTAGACCGTCTAGTCATATCATCTTGCCCGGCAACTAAGGAACCACCATGCCCATCCTGCAAAGCAAAGCACAAGTAGCCCAGTCAACGAAACAAAGCAAGCCCATGTATGAAGTTCGCGAGGAACCAGATCGCTCCGCCCAACTGAAACTGCAGCCCAAGAATCGGGCCCAAACAGAGCGGGCCTAAAACCTGATTCCCGTAAATAACATATAAGAATCGTGGGCTCATTCACCTTCGGTTTCGGTCATAAACTGGCACTCCATCCCTGTCCCTTTCCCAGTGAAAGTGGCGTAAAACCCTTAGCCAAAACCACCGTCTCTCTTCCAAACACTGAACCAGAGCGCTCTTCTTCTTCTTCCTCTCCGTCTTCCATTTCCTTGTAGATCCCTTCCTGCTTCTGCGCTAATTTCAATGAGGCTCACGCTTTACAGAGCCCATAGGCGGCCGCTCACCAACCCTTCTCTCCTCCAATTTCTCTCTCCGTCATCCTCCTTCTCTTCTCCTCCCTCATCCACCGGTCCTCCCGACGACGACGGCGGTGCCTTCTCGGATCCCCAGCCTCCTCCCGAAACCAAGCCCTCAGCCACCTCATTCCTCAGAGATGTCAGGGCGAGCCTCAAGCACAAAGAAGAGATGTGGCGGCCGCAGAACCCAGCCCAGGTCAGATCCAATTCGCCGCCCTCGAGAATCCCCGCCGCGGGTCCCTATCTGGACATCAGAGAGAGACTCAGAGTATATAGGCAAAGGTCATCTGCTCCTCCCCCTAACCCAGCGCAAGGGCAGCAGCAGCAGCCGCAGCCGCCGCGACAGCAGATATCGTTTCTAAAGCTGTACCAGCGGAACACAGCGGCCGAAGGTGATCGCGACGGCGGCGTTCAGTCTGGGTTTACCGGCGCCAACACTTCTTTGCCTTCTTTCGAGCATATCAGAGCAAGTCTTGGGGCCCTCCCTAAGCGTGCGGGCTCCAACAATAGAAGGGCAGATTCGACTCAGTCGTGGAGTACTGGAAGCATCTTTGGTCAGAGAGCTGAAAGAGAGGCGAGTTCAACAAGGTTTGGCGGCGGTACTCTGGGAGGTATGAAGCTGCAGCAGCGGCTGGATAGAGCAAACGAGATTGGAAGAATGGGCATTGCCGAGGAGTATGCTTATACAGAGCTAGGGGAGGAGTTGAAGAAATTGCGGCCCGGCCAGAAGCAAGGGCAGAAGGGGTGGTTTTCGTTGAAGGAGTTGAGTGAGAGATTGAGTAAATTGAGGGAGCTGGAGAAGGAACGTGACGACGGACCAATGAAGGAGGTGAGGGCAGGTTTGGAGGTGGCGGCAACCATGCGGGAGAAGGAAAATGTGCGCTCAAGTGAGTATGCTAAAACTAGTCTCGAAAGTTTATTATCTCTTGTAGTTCCATTTATCTTGGAATTATTTGAATTATCATTGCTGGGTAACGTTGGGAAAGAAAATGGGGGGATTGATGTTGTGGAGGGTATTGGTATTGCGTCATAGGAAGTGATTGGTGATGCTTGAAAATGAAGTTAGGAAGGGAGTTGCTTGTTGTCTGTGGATTATACTACAATGTGATTCCACATTCAATCTTATGGTTGGGTCATGTGGCCTCACCATCTGACTTAGTTGAGCTAGTGATTCTCGTATCTTGGCGGATTGAATATGCTTATACAACATGTTCTCCGAACCTGGAGGGTGGTTTTGAAGATTTGCCCCTATGACTTTCACGTTGTTTATGTGTAGAGTGGTTAACTGTCATATTCTTTTGCTTGGCTTTACAGAACTTGACCCGGACAAATCGATGTGATCTCTGGCATTTATTGGCTGAATTTGTTTTCTACAGGCTCAAACTTTAGGAGTTTGATGGGTATAACTCCTGATTATCAGTCGACGATCCCAAAAGAGCACTTGGTTGAGAAGGCAGGATCCCTTTTTCTCTACTACTCTTGATATGGTTGCTAATTTAGATAGCCAGCCCATATTTCTATTTCTTAGCAATTTATATGGTAACCTTTAAGGACAACTGAACTATTGAATCTTGTTTTGGGGTACCAACTTTTTTCCTTTATTGTTCTGATATTGTTTTCTGATTTTTGGATGGAATTTTTTAGTATTTCCATCCAGATAACATGTCCTCTCAGGAGAAAATGAAACTTGAGCTTGCACAAGTTAGGGAGGAGTTCAAAGCATCGGAGTCAGATTGTGGATCTGCCCGGGTGCAAGGTAATGGTTTTCTGTCATCCTTTCAATACTTTTCTATCCCGAGTTGATGCTATTGTGAAATTTCAAATAGCATGCACTATCTATGATGAATTAGGTTTTTTGGATCTTGAGACTGGGGATTCTAGATGTACCATTCTATGTCGGTTTATTGATTAGTAGAGCTGGGTTTTGGATGAGAATGGTGCGTATCGTGTATATCCATCTTTAGCTTTTGACTTAAGTAATTGATTTTATGACTTTGACGCAAGGGTTTAATCTAGTGATGCTAGGGATGAAAGCATCCAAATATCCTATGAAACCTTGAGACCAATTTGACATATTATTGACATTAATTTCAATCCGTGTTACTCAAGAATGGATGCTGCCCTCTTTACTTAATGTTTTATTTGCGGTATCTGTTATATATTATCAGCTCGGCTGCTGACTCACCATGGTTTCCCCATTCCCTCTTTAGAGATGCATGGTTACTAAATTTAATCATTTGTAGCTGCCAATTTTCAAGGAGGTTAATCTGTTTTTTCCTAGTAATATATAAACAGTGTAGTAGGATGTTTGTTTTTCTTATTCGTCCCACAGATAGAAATATCTGTGGTAGTATAAATACTAAAAAAATACTAAAAGATAAACACTGTAGGGAATATGCCAGCATAGGCCGTCATGGATCTGAAAAGAAGAATTATGTTTTGCTTGATGGGTAGCTATTTTGTGTTTGGATTTTGTTCATATAAATATCCATGTACTCTGGTTTTCGATGAAATAGAATCTCAAGCCTTTCTGCTGTTTAAAAAAGTGAACTTGTGTCTGTGTGCTTCATCTGTTGCACATAAGTCCTAGTATTAGATAATGAAAATGGTATTGTGACGCCAGCTCATCCATGAAAATGCAAGCAAAAGAAATCATACATTTTGAATTACACATTTAGGTCGAAGTCCAACGAACAGTATGGCCAAACAGGGACTATAAGAAGTCCTCTCATCGAGCTAGGAATGACCAATCTTGAGTGTTTTTAGGACTCCTAGGAGCCTTCTTTACTACTTTTATGCTACCAATAGATTGCTTTTGGTACCCCCCAACATGTAAAATTATACAAGGTGGGTAAGTTGAAAAAATGGTTTATTTACTCAAAATCTTTACATCTTCTGTGCTCGTATGTTTCTGGTCTTAGAACATGCTGATGGGAGGTGGCACTTGTAAGCTGTGACTAATATTCTCCCCATTGATGACACTGTTGTTTATAAACTTGATGTTCTTTCTCTGGACTCTTGCAGTTGCGCAACTTACAACGAAGATCAAGCATTTATCCTCAGTTCTCCACAAAAAGGTGAGAAAGAATGCAAAGCTGATACTTCGGTATTACCATTTCTTTGGTAGGACGGAGACAAACATTCACATCTCTTCAGTTTGTGCCACAATAAACAATCTTGGCTTGCTACCTTGTTTGGCTGCAAGGTCCTTTAACTTGGTTGATGTCTCAGTCGAAAACTTGTGCGCCCTATCGAGTGTGTGTCGTAGTTACCGGTTCTGCCAAAATTTTACTGTTCTGATGTGGTGCAGGACAAGCATTCAAGGAAGGGTCTTCAGGAAATGGTCCAAAAGAGGAAGAAGTTGTTGAAGTATCTAAGGAGAACCGACTGGGACTCGTACTGTATGGTTCTTTCAAAGCTGGGTCTTCGTGACAATCCGGACTACAAGAACTTGTGAACGTTACAATAATTAGATTATAGGCGAATTTGCAATGGTGTAACATCGAGGCTTCCCATTTCCAGGTGGGTGAATTCAGAAAATTACCTGTGGTAGTAGTTCTTTCTCTAGCAGATGAAGGATATTTTTGGCAACATAGCGATTGAGATGCTTTAATGGTTTTCCTGCGTCCCGTGTTTTTCTGATGTATTGTACATGAAAGCGCATGACCTTTGTGAGAGTCAGATGCGGAGGAATGAAGAGCTTTAATAAGATTTTGTTGCCTCTAATGGTTTAATCAGTCGATTGGATTTGGTTGTAAGCAAGCCAGACACTCGGTCAAAGATATGGTGAATGGTTATGCATAATCAGATTTGAACTCTTGATTTGAAGCGGCGTGGAATTTGAGGGGTGAGAATAAAATAAATTTTTTATTTCTTCTAGTTTTTTTTTTATCTTCATCATTCAAACTTGGATTTCTAAATTTTAGATGGATGGAATGAGTTTGTTATGATCTATATCACTTGTAGTACCATCTTTATTTAAATTTATAATAATTTTGCTTAGAAGGAACGAGCTCATTGTGATATATTAGATCTATAAATCTATCCCTGATATAAGGAATAACTAGTAGTAGACGATAACGAAATGTGGTAAATGACAGTTAGTATGCAATTATTATATAATATGATAAATTTATATCACAAGAGTATACTTTTTTTATCACATTGTATAATTTTAAGTACATACCAAATGAGACTACATGGTATTGACCAGTTGACTAGCATTTTGACAATGGTTCTAAAAAGCACGCCTAGGCACTCGCCTAAGCTCGCTTAGGCGCAAGTCAGAAGGAAAACGCCTCGCCTTTACAAAAAATAGTGGAGATGGTGTCACAATCACGTCGTGGCTTCGATGGTGCCTAGTCAGCATTGAGTTGCACCTCAAAATGATGTCACAATGTCTTTTTTCTAACTTTTGATATGCTACTAGGGAGGACGATCTTGATTTCTTGATATTACGTTAGGAAATAGTTAGAGACGACCATCTTTAGAGTAGCTTCTTCTTTCTTTTTTGCGCTTCTTCGTCTCAACATGCTTAGTTTTTTTCCAGCTTCTCTTCCTTACTCATTTCTCCACACGATGTTTTATGTTTTACCATGTGTTGTTGATGAAAGTTAGAAATGAGAAGTAGATACGATGATATTTGGTTCATAAACTTGTGATTCTAGGAAAATAGGAGATATTATGCTACGTTTACATCTAACGCCTAGGCGACGCCTAAGCATGCTAGGCGTAAGGCAGAGCCTTAACGCTCGCCTTACGCCTAGCGCTTTCTTTAACCTTGATTTTGACCATGCAAAACCAAAGAAATGACGTTAAAAGGGGATTTTTAGCGAGAGCAACCATCTTTGATAAGACAAACCCTAATTGGATTGGCTTCAAAACTAGTCTCTAGAGAGGCTCCAATACACCAAACCGGAGAATGAAGATATCAATCAAGAAGGGGATCACCGTGGCATCTTCTTCCCTTCTAGTATTCATCCTTTCCTTTTCATATTATGTAGAACCGTGGGTTTATGGATTGTTTATTTTCGGGTAAATGATAGTCACTGAGATTACTAAATCGTATCATGTTTAGTCACTAGAAAAATTTAATATCAATTTTGGTCACTCGAATTACTGAAACAAGTCACATTTAGTCACTCTCCCGTTAGTTTTCGTCTGACTTCATTAATGGAGTTGGACGGAAACTAACGGGAGAGTGACTAAGTGTGACCTATTTTAGTAATTCAAGTGACTAAATGTGACACGTTTCAATAATTCGAGTGACCGGAGTTGGATGGAGGCTAACGGGAGAGTGACTAAATGTGACATGTTTTAGTAATTCGAGTGACAAAAATTGATATTAAATTTTTCTAGTGACTATACATGACACGATTTAGTAATCTCAGTGACCAAATGTGGCATTTACCATTTTTTCATTCTGTTGATTGTTATGAAATATGTTGTATGCCTGTGCAATAACATAGACGGCTACCTGGCATTTCAACCATTTATCATAGCTCCGGTATCTACCAAGGCCTATGACTCGCCTTGCATGAATTTGCCCAAAACATAGCATCTCCCGTGTTTTCTCTCCTTGGCGTCGGTCTTGACTGTGCGAAGTTTGCGAATAGAGCCAATCTTGGCCTCTGCCGCTTTGGGCTCCTTATCTTGAGCCTCCATGATTGCCAATCTCGCCTCCTTTGTTCTCCGCTCTTTGGCTTTGAACTCTTTTCCTTGCTGCTTTCGTCCCTCTTGTACTCAACAAAAGATTCTGTCATGGCCATGGCAGTTGCAAGGTATTGCACTCCTCGCCTTTGCATCTCCATCTTGGCCAACTGTTGCCGCCATCAAGGATGTCGTGCACGACCTCCTTGTCGGTGATATCTAGGGATGACAACGAATCGGGTTGGGAGATAGTGCATATATGTTACCCTACCCAAAGTAGTTTAGATTTTACCCATACCCAAATAAGAATCGGATTGAAAATCAAAACCATGCTCATACCTGCTCAGATTTCGGGTATCCACGGTCATCCATGGGTAATAATTTCACTTTATAACTCTAACCAATATGTTAACATTCACATGAATGCTCACATTACATAAGAGGAAAAGTACGACAATAAATCACTATAATGAAGAATATTAATTCAAACAACGCAATTTCATAAAAATATTATGTTTGTATGCTAAATATAAAATATGTTAGAGAAAAATAATGATTATTTATAGACAAAATACATATGCATGTGTATAATCGGGCGGGTTCAGGTTGGATAGTGAGGAAATTATGCCCACCCATTACCCGCAATATTCGGGTTCAGGTTTTACTCTACCCGATTAGGTTGGATTTGGGAAGATATCCACGGTTACGAATATTTTTGCCATCTCTAGTGATGTTAGGGATTTCTAGAAGCATCTATGGGAATTCCATCACGTAATCTCTAACTCCACCCCTCTGGGTGAGCCTCCTCAACCTCGAACATGCTTTTTAACTCCACGTTCTCTGGATATAGCTTCTTCTTGATTTCTCTATTGAAATCATCTCATGTTGCCATCACACACGTACCCTTTCCGACGTACGCTTCATGTCACCTACACCAAACCGTAGCAATAAACCAAGTAATGTGGAGCGGTACGAAGTTTAACCTCATCTTGGATGTCGGATGCCTTGAAGTATTGCTCAATACCCCAAATGAAGTTCTCTAACTCCCTTGCGTTACTCGAAACTCTGTAGTTCTTCGGTCTTGGAACGTCGGCTCTTGGGATAGATTTCATCGGGACTGGTTCGCTAGACATGGCTCTCTTCACGAGAGTGACCTCACTCTTGAGGTCTGCAATCTCCTCCTTCATGATGACCAACTCTACTTGAACTGTCTCCTTCACAACTTCAATGGCGTTGCTCATGGATTTGGAGATGGTGTTGTTGATGAGGGCCACAAGCTCTTCACGTAGCCCATCATTGCCGATCTCCAAGCTCGTAAGCTGAGTCGTCATACCTTGAACATCGCCTTGGATTTGGTTGAAGTTAGTTCCCAAATCCTCCATGACGGTAACAACTTCAGTCACCTTCACCTCCACTCTAGAGCCGCGCTTCTCTAGATCCGCCAAAGGGTCACGGGTGCTTGATTTTGTCAGTCTTTGGCCTGGAGCTCTTCGTGGAATCTCTACCACGTTGTTTGTCACCAACATAAAAAAAATTATGATCTCAACATTTTTGGTGAGGCTCTGCCTCTTCGTTTTGGCTTGCTTCTTTGTTAGCACCAAGCCTAACCAGACTCTGATACCACTTGTCACGACCTTACTCTCGGTCGTATGATCTTAGCTCTTAATTCCGTTAGAGAACTATGCAGCCTTCTCTCAAGCTCACAAGCTCACAAAGAAAGTAAGAAAGACAAAGGAAGTGGGAGAACTCTCTAGTGTGTATTACTCTAAAAAATTATGGAATGAACTACGAGTGAGGGAGATGACTCCTTATATAGGTCTCCCCACATACAAGGCATCAATGCCCCCCTCATAATGGTCCCTCCCATTACTACACCTATTAAGTCCCCCCATAATGCACTCTCATAATGCCACCCATAATGTGGCTCATAAGTGCACCATAATGCTCATAAAGGTGGAGAATCCTAGAGGCATCTCTATGCTTCTCGTCTTCCATACACGCCACATGTGCAAAGCACCAAGTCAACTACCACATGTGACACTGGCCACGAGGTTCGGTTAATAACCCATTCTTTATCCTACTCATCCTCGATCAAGAACTGCAGCAATCCCAGCTCTGCCTCCATCACAGTCACTTTCTCCCAACATTGTCTGGCACCTTGGACAATCTTCTGGATTGTTCTCAGACTTGGAGGATTCTCCATGAAAAGCCGCCTAATCAAGCTCAATTTTGCCATTTTCATACTCTCTTCTTCAACATCCTCCAACTCGAACTCCATAACTTGGTTGATATCCATTGGCTTTGCTGCCATTATTCCTTTGTTACCAGAAGTTTGGTCATGCTGAGGTTTCATCATAGAATTACTATAATAGTATGATAATTCCATAATATGACAATAGTATATGATGACATCAATAATTTTTGCTCAAGATAAGACCCCATATTATCTTATCATTGTCGTACCAACATCATACCACTATAGTGAGACTCCATAATACTATTTTACCACTGTCATACCATGATCTTACCACCATGGTAAGACTGACAACATCATCATACTATTGTCATGTCATATCTAATGTCATGACAATTAGATGATGTGAACTTTTTTTGCTCCAAAGATATCAAAATAGATGTCATCTTGTAGAGCAAAAAAAACTTATTTTGTATGCATTTAAAAAAAAAATATAATGTAAAACGAATGAGATATGCAAATTCATATGAGATATGGAAATTGTAATAATTACCAAAGGGAGATATGCACCTCCCAAAAATCCATCCAGATATACCAAAAAGCATACTTTCCCTTCTTATTCATCTGTAAATCTCACCGTCAAATCTTGCCTGCTCCGACAATAGCCTTCTCAATCAAGTTTTGTAGTTCTAAAAATATGGAGGTTGTGTATTGGAATTTGGAACCTATGCCATAAATTTCAAATGCATAAAAAATTAAAAATTTCATAATATATTTTATATAAGATAAATCAATTTAAGTGTATTGGTTGGCGGTAGTCTAACTATGATAATTATTCGAGTATTTTGGTGGATAAATGTTTACATAATACATACACTAAGACATCATAAACCACAATTGCAAATGTTTTGAAAAATGTTCAATCAATTCAACCAAAAAAAGGTTTAATCAACCTTGGACCTGACAATCGGGTAGGGGTTTCAGGTTACCGGTCGGATCATGTTGATTGGCTTATTTCGGATCAAATATTGATCCAACCAATTCGGTTTCGGATCGTTCCAGATTATAGATTAATATTGACT